TTTACGTTTTTTTGAAAAAAACGCATAAGTTCTTTTTTAAATATATATTAACGTTTAATTATCGTTGGTATTTCGGAATGCAAAACGTAATAATTGTACCTATTAGAAAAATTGTGCTTCAATACAAAAAACTCAATACCAAACTCGTTGGTTTAAAGTCTTAGTGTCAACGAACCTACAAGAAAAAAAATCAAATAAGTTTGTTCGGAAAAACTATTACAAATATGGTAGGTATATGGTGCTTTATTTATATTTTTACCTGTCTAACTTTTATTTATAACAAATTATATTATTAATCAGTGCAGAAAAAGTATACTACACATAAAACTAGAATAATTGAAAAATTCTAAAAAAAGAATATATTGTATATTACAAGCATTTATAAAAATACTGGCTTTTATTGTTAGTAAGTCAGGTCAAATGTCTATGTTACGGAATGTCTATTGTATTCAAGGAAATAATAAAAAAAACAAATCATAAGTGATGCAACTGCGACTTTTCAAATATATTAGGGCCAACTAACTAATTTTAAGGAACATCAAAATAAATATTTTCATCAGTCACGCTAAATGACACATCAATTTTTAATAAGTAGATTTTATAATCATCACTTATAATAATAGCTGAACATTACGCTTAATTTATCTACGAATTATTTGTTCAATGCGGTTTAACCGAAATCAGATTTATTGCAGAGTTTTTAAGTTAAAACGACATTATGTCATACCGTATAAAAAAAGGTATATAAAAATTGAACTAAGCAAGGTATATTGTATACAAGGTATATAATTAATACTAACTACATAGGTACTAAGCTTAAAATGGCACATACGAGCTTCCGAACCTTCCTTTCGCTAACCGATACCGTATGTCCAAAGTTGTCAAAATAAAAGGCCGCGCCCTGAGAAATTACAACGCATCTATTAACAGAACATATAGCAGAATTAACCTGTTATAGAGACAAATTTATCAACTCGTTCGTTCAGTAGTTACAGACATAATGATTAAACGACACACAAAATATTAAAAATGATCGTTAATCGATCGATTTAATTAAGTTTTTAAGAAAGAGAACGTGCGAAGTTTTTATTTTGACAACCTGGTCACTGGTTAAGCCCACAGCAAATGAACCTGATATGAAATGAAATCCTATCAATACTTTGTGCTTCAAAATGAATATACACTTTACAAGTAACAGTTAGCAGAGCAACGTTGTACGAAAATTATAAGTAGTCACTTGAACAATTTCTCACTTTATCTAATTCTACTGAGTATTAAGCATATCATTTATAGATTTTTATATTTCTCTAGAAAGCCTAGGAACTAAATTGTTACTATTTTCTATCTGTAGTTATTCTAATTTTTTATATGGAAAAGTTCCTTACTCATTTATATAGTTACATTGTCTTCATTTTGATTGTGATACTTTGCGTTTATGGTATAGTTTATACATCACATTGATTAATACCTATTTAAATATTGAGTAAAAATGCTGTATAATACAAAGTGTGATAGTAAACATAACTACACTTCTGGACACATCTATTGGCCCACCTTGCATTTTCAGTTTCTTTTGGTCCTAACAAAAAAATTTATATTAGGTCGAGTAAAAATTTTTTATGCAGTTTTGAACCTGATACATTTTACCATCTTTTTCGATCGTATTGTTTTAAATTTGAATTTAGAATACCACACCACATGGAGATACGCCTTACAAGTCGGGTATGCGCCTTGATGAAGTCAGTTGATTTTTGAATAAAAAACGTGTTTTATCAAATAAAGGTTTAATTTAATAACGCGTGTTGCCTCCATGGGCATCTACGACAGCTCTCATACGATTAGGCATAGAGTTTATCAACCGCTCTATGAAATTTTGAGGGATCATCTCCCATTCCTCTTCTATGGCAGTTTTCAATTCCTGCATCGTCTGGGCAACTGGCTGACGAGCCCTAACACGTCTTTTTAGCTCGTCCCACATGTGCTCAATGGGGTTCATATCTGGGCTTCTGGCTGGCCAGTCCATAACTGCGATGTTCACATCCCGAAGATATTCTCTGACGATGCCGGCCGTATGGGCTCTTGCATTATCATGCATAAAAGGAAATTTGGGCCCACATAGTCCGCGTATGGCATCACGTGAGGTTCTAAGCACTCAAAAATGTACCTTTCAGCATTAAATGTTGGCAGCCGTGGTCCCGTAACAAGCTCAAGTTGAGTTTTGCCGCTCGCGGATATACCGCCCCAGACAGTCCATGAGCCACCGCCATAAGCAACCCTCTCTTCAAAGCAGCATTGTGCAAAACGCTCTCCCTTACGTCGGTAGACCTTCTTCCTTCCATCATTGCCATGTAATGCAATTTTAGACTCATCAGAAAAGAGTACACCGTTCCAATGCTGCTGAGTCCAATTTAAGTGTGAGCGCGCGAAATGAAGGCGCGCTATTCGGTGGGCTCGCGTTAGTTTTGGGCCATTAGCTGGCTTGTGTGGTACCATATCGTGTTCTTTTAATCTTCTCCGAACAGTTCGAGCGCTCACATTTACTCCATGGAAGTCGCGAAGTTGGTTTTGTATCTCAATGGAGGTAAGGTGACGATTTCTCAAGCTGGTCGTCACGATGAATCGATCCTGCCTTTCAGTTGTGACCCGAAATCGTGGCCTTCCTTGGCGACGAACAAAGTCGCCAGTATCTAGGTATCTCCGATAAACGTTTCGGACCGCAGATCGACTTAAATTAAGTTGATCACTCACATTTCTTTGGCTGTGTCCGGCCCGGATAAGTGCCACAGCTTGGGCGGCGACTTTAGGCGAAGTATCCATAGATTATTGATAGAACCTCATCTTAATGTTAAGAATAAGTAATGTTTGTTGCAAAACCAAAGAGAAAATTCACACTTTCAAGAATTAAATCCAACTAAACCAATAAAATCAAGTTTTTTTAGTATTCGATTGTTTGATATCAATGAGCAGGCTCCAAATTGTCTTTTGTTTCTTTAAATTCTGTGTTCGAAATTAAAAAAAAAAATTTTGAATGCAATTATGAATGTGCCAGGTTCAAAACTGCATAAAAACTTTTTACTCGACCTAATATAAATTTTTAGGTAGGACCAAAAGAAACTGAAAATGCAAGGTGGGCCAATAGATGTGTCCATAAGTGTATAATAAACTATATACAGAATATACTGGGAAATTATTCAAAGTGACTGTAAATTGTCAAGTCTATATAGTTTGCTAGTGTCACGTCATCCAGTTAAATGTTAGTTATCAAGTTTTGAATCAAAACAATAATAACTAACGCTGTTTATCACAAAAATACTATTAACTCCAAATAAACTAGAATTCAAGACTATTACGATAAATTATCCTGAGTCGATCAGTCACCTTGTGAATTCTTATGGTCATTAAAGTTTAGTGGGCTTTTTAACTGATTTCGTAAACACAGTATTTTCTTTGAGTTTTCGCGGTATGTAGAATCCGGCATCAATGTTAAAATTTCTAGCGTAATTGACAAACTATACAATACTAACATTAACAAATAGTGGACCATACATTTAATAGGAGTTATGCCCTCGAATCTAATTTGGTAAAGAAGAACTTCTGAAATCATCCGATACGATATATATGTTAATATTTAATTAACGGCGTATTTCTTTATTAGATGAAAACAAGAGACGTAAAAACAGCTCGTTGTTCGTTGTCACTATTGGTATACCTGAGCAAATGAGACAACTTCTATGTTATTAGAGAATCTCCAAAATGCAATAGAATGATTTCGCTGTAAAACCAATTTCAGTCTTTATAAATTAGTTATTAAAAGATTTATCTTTAAATATCTATGATATCGGATGTAAATTCAAGTTCTTATTTACCAGATACGCTACTCTTAATAAATCGACACATAGAAGCCTTCATCAATATACCCTTAAAACTATACACAGGCAGGTTAAGCCTAAACAGCCTGTACATTTCATAGCCTTTAAATTTGATATAATACCGAAAAATCCAATAGAAAATCGGAAATATTTGATTAGACATTAACCGCACTAAATAACTTTCCATATACCAATTACACCAATGAAGCATTCATAAACATTTATCCTTATGGAATATTCAAAATTCTTAATTTTATATTTGATCGATCGACCTCGTATAGGACAAGTAAAAAAGCTTAGAAACTTCTCAGCTAAGTTACTCCAGTGAGTATTTAGTTTAATAATTGTTAGAAGCAGCTTTTCAAATGGTCTCGACAAAGTTGAGATTACAGAAACTGTACTGAAATATGACAGTTATACAAAGAGGTCGGTGTGAACTGGATGATATCTCCCTCGCACTTTGAGGCCACATAAATTTAAAGCAAAGTACATCTATATTAATTTGTTTGAACCTTGTCCCAAAATATTACTGGCCTCAACGGAAGTTCAAAGAGAAGAAAGCTACTCAAGTCGTTTACAAATTTTGAGCAGCTCCTAAATTTGATTTTCGTACATGACACACCGCATCAACCACCGATGAACCAATGTTAGTACAAATCCAAGCCAATACGCAAACTACTGAATCTGAAAAGCCTCAATACACATCCTAAATAAACTAATACTTTAGCACCAACATAAACTGGAGACCAACATCGGTTCAAACTTCAAATATTTGAGCGTCGCGTTGAAAACGTAAGACCTAATCTTATCCAACGTTTGGTCAAATAATACTTCGCTGGATCGCACAACGCGCTGAGTATTCAATGTACACTACCGTCCACTTGTGACCACCACCTGTCGAAGAACATCTTTGTGAGTGGCTGAATATACTGGCACTAAATGTAAAATTAGAAGCATTTATATGTATTTCTTAATGACAAGTCATAAGTGTACCTACAAAGTGTTACCCATATGATTAAATGATTTTTGAATTTGAATGTATAACTTTTTACTAATTTCATATATTTTGAAAACTTTATCTACGAGAAAAGTCACATGATAATAAACAATATACACTAAAACTTACCTGGTTCAGCTATTACAATCGTGCAAGCCGGGCGTATACGCAGCCAGCGCGCAATAGCACGCCAGCAACGCGCTCGGCGGTAAGGGCGAGGACGTAGACGTATAGGTGTGATGGTGTACGCATCGTGCGTGCGCTTGAAGCGCACACGCACAGTATAGATCGGCAGACGAGCAAGGGGTCGCGTGTTCTGCCCCCGGTTCGTGTATATTTGGATTCCGAGCGCCGCCACCGGCTGCACTCAGTGCGCAAAAGCTTAACGCCCGCCAACCCCCGAACCTATGAGAAACAAACCTTTGAAAACCTGTCATGTAATCGGCAGACATTGTCTGGTATAAACCGTGTATACTTAAGTGTTAATAAGTTTTTATACTGAAAAAAAAAAGGTATACACTATTCTGGAAAGCACCAAAGCTTTTATTAATTTTCATATACACCCTTGACATTTATGTGTAGTAAATTTCTATAAAACATTAATTCTAAAATACTCACTTGTCAACAACAATAACGGGCCCATTCTTATACTCCATCTGGCATCCGGCAACGAATTCAATCAACCCGAAGGAATCCTTGTAAGGCGCTATCAACCTATCCAACGCTCCCTCCCTTTCGCTCCCGCTCGACTCTCTCACTCCGCGCACGTGTTCGTTATCGTCCGGGGCGTTAACACTGTAGTCCGTCGTATCACCGCTTAACCAACCACAACACTTAATAAACTTCACACTTAGTTGATAATCGTCCTGCAACGAGTGCACACTAACATTAGTCACTTCTATCACTCTGTCCGATGGCACATGACTGGTGTTTTCCGTTCTTTCGAAGTAGTAAAGCGGCCTGTGGAGTTCCATCTCCTCCTGCACCGTGAGGGAAGGCTGAATCGGAGGAGGAGGAGGGGCTTCGTCGGGCGGAGAGCCGGCTCTCGCCCCCCATTCGGGAAACTTGAACTTCGTCGGGGAGCTCAACTTGAAGTTCTTTAGAGACATTTTGGAAGGGCTGCGAGGGGATTTCGGGCCGTTTTTCTTTTCCGCTAATGACGAGAACAGATCTCCATTGGCTATTGATTTTCTTGCGGATAGATCTCTGCTTCCGTTGAGCGAGTCGAGGCGTAATTCGGCTCTGTCGTAGCGGTGTTCTCCATCTTGTATCGGTGAATTCTCCGGGATTAATCGTTCGTCGTCGGCGCATTCCGATCCTTCTTGCCTTCGGTATCCATTGATCTCCGGTTCCGACGGCGTTTCTGCCTTTTTCTCTGTTCGTCGATGCGCCACATACGTCTCCTTGGACACAAAACTGGCTCGGAAGTTAGCAATGAACAATTCTCGATCATCTTCAGTTGGCCAAAATACTTCGCAGTCCTGTAAAGAATACGAAAACAAAGTCATCAGAGCTTATGCATAAAAAAATATGAAAATAACTTTTATGGTTGTTCTTACCGAGGAATTTTCATCCGGCAGCATCAACACCAGCTGCCCGGTGTGGTCCCACAGAAGCCGCCAGAGCTCTCCGCCGAGCCCGGGATGTTGGGCGACTGCGTACTCCCGCATGCGTCGTCTGCCGCAAACCCACGACGCATTCACGTAGTCACTGCCTGTAAATGAGGATTTTTAAATAAATTCATATTTTACACTCGTTTAATATTTTTTGTTTATTTCTGTTACAACTTAATTTTTTTTATATATTTAATATGTTTGTGTACTATTAACATTTACACAACATAAAAAAGAAAACAATATAAGAAAATACAAGGAAACCACAACAATGAATAATATATGGAAGTTATTTAACAAATAAAATCTACACACATGTTAATATTATTTTTTAATGAGGTGAAAATGCGCTTGCGCAGTCCCGCGACATGGATGTCGAAATTGACGCGGCTGGGTCTACTCTCAAAGCCCTTTGCTACTCAGATGGGTAGCGAGACCCCACCCACTAAAATACCTCAGCCCTTAAGACCCCAAGGATCCATACCCTTGGGGTTCGCCAGGCTTTCTACCCAAGGATGTTAAGGGGCTTAAAATTCTTTACATTTAGATTCTTTTTCTTTATTTGCATTTCTATTCCAACAATTTCCCCACTTTTGTGTTTCGATATGAATTCGTAGTGAATTAAAAAAAAATAATATACCTTCAACCCCAGGTTTGGGCACGAGCATAACTCTAGCCGAATCAGAAGGAAGAAAGCCACCGGGTCTATTCTTCTCAGCGTTGTGAGCTGCGCGTGCGCATACACTTGGTTCCACACAGGATCGGGTTATAAGCTGGAAAGACAATCAGAAAAATGTAATAATTGGCAGATTAAATCAATTTTTTCAGACGTATAAACAAGTTTATATCCGTTCAAGAACCATATTTAAATATTCTGAATTAATTTCAAATATTATATGTGAATCTTAATTAAAATTTTTAAGTTAAGAACCTGATACTGTTTCTCCAACAAATTGACAGGAGGTGGGCCTTGGTACGTCGGTTGCCGGTTTGATAACGACCGCATTCGTTCCAACAGTGCATAGTTTTCCACTCGATTCGCCCTAGAACAAGAATACATTTTTACTAACATTATCTGCATATGTATAAGGATATAAACCACTGAAATTATCTTTTTGACTCACCTCCTAATCTCCTCTTTCTCTTCCTCACTCATACTATTGTAAGCTGCCATTTTCTTACTATACGTGTCCGTGGATCGCGGGGCCAAGTCGTACACTCCCTCGTTCTCGTCCCCGTTCACCAGCACCTCCTTCTCCTGGCCATCTGACGATTTACTCGGCTCGCTGATTTCGTCAGTTTTCAAAGACATTTCGCTGCCATTCTCTAGAATTTCTGTCTTGTTTTCACTATTCGATTTGACGCTGGTGACGTCGTTTTCGACGGTCAAATCGTGAACGCTCTTGGTTTTAGTCGAATTTAGATCCATGACCGCCAGTTCCTCGTCCGATATGGGTTCCAGGAGTTTGATGAGATATTCCCTGGCTTTCGAGAATTCGACTTCGGTGTCGCCGGACCGGACGTACTCGAGGAGCGCGTCGTGTACGAATACGTACTGCTCTTCCGTTTGTACGAGATGGTTTCGTTGTGTGCGTGCGCGGCAGAGGAAGCCCAGCGGGGACAGAGTTCCCGTTAGCTTCAATTGGTTCAATTGTGCGTCTATAACTATGTACGTGCCCGTTCGGCCCACGCCCGCGCTGTGAAAATGGAATTCAAAAACATAAAGAAATACTCTTTGCGTGTTATTTTTTGTCCATGAAATTCTTAAAACTGTATTTACTACACATTTACATTACACGTTTAGCTGATTTCAATATTTTTATATCGGAGTTCAGTGACAGTGGAGTTACGGTACCTATAAAATAAAATAACTAGGGGCTCACAATCTGTTACCAGAATTAAGTTTAAGGCTCAAGAAGTGCTCACCTGCAATGGACTAGCACCGTGTGTGGATCTTGAGCGGCCTTTACAAATGGCAAAACGGCCAGCGGGTGCCTGGGCGTACCGTGGTCTGGCCACACCGTGTAATGGTACTGCACTATGTGTCTCTGTCTGTCCGGACTGTCTTCCGTTCCCGGCTCGGTCACCTGTTATACGGGGATAGTTTGAGAACTTCATAATTCTTTTTGCATTAATATTTGCAAAAATACTTTTCTTATTTATATTTCATCTAAGTAAAAATAATAATAATATCTCACCACGGGCGTTGCTCGTAAATGCCGTATAGTATACGCTGCGCGTACGTCCTCATACAGGAGCGTAACGTGCACGCCTCCGAACTCTGCTGAACTTCCCCGACCCCCGGATGGCCAGTACATATCGCATTTTCGCTGTTAAGAAAATTTATTTTATTTTAGGACAGTTAAAAAATAATATACCATGGCCTACACTGCCAAAAGAGTGCAGGTCGTTTTTCTCGCCATGCCGCGCTAAACGACATTATACGCCGCTCTTTTGCCTCCATCAATGTTCCAGCAATTTTGGAGCCAACAGGCATCGCAAGAGACGATGGCAAGCGGCCGGATGGAATGTCTTTGATCCCTTGGAAAATGGGACGGGCTTTAGTATGGGATGCTACCTGTGTAGACACCTTTGCCCCGTCTCATCTCTTTCGGACAAGCAAAAAAGCTGGCGCGGCCGCAGAACAGGCAGAAATTAACAAACGGCACAAATATAAGAGTCTTTCCTCCAACTTCAATTTTGTTCCCTTTGGAGTAGAGACTCTTGGGCCGTGGGGTTCAAGTGCACAGGCGCTTATTAAAGATTTAAGTTGGCGCCTGGTAGATAGTACCGGTGACCACAGAGCTGGCACTTTCCTGGCTCAAAGAATAAGTCTCGCAATACAGCGAGGAAATGCTGCCAGCGTTAAAGGTACACTGCCACAGGGACCAAACTTTTTAAATTTGTTTTGATTTTCTTCTTTCTTCTTTAATTATTTTTATTATTACTTTATAGGTTAAGAAAATTGTAAATACTGTATATTTTGTGTAAATAAAAAGAAATACTACCTAAAAAAAAATATATATAATTTTTTTATGAATAATATTTATATTGATGATGAATGAATCTTAATTATAAAGTTCACTACTGACCCTGCCCCTCTCTACGAGATTCGTAATCATAACCAGAGTTCTGACTTTGTGCTGCCATATCATCCTCCAAAAGGCATCCAGAGTGGCCGGAGTCGGCCCCTGAGTAGCGATGTAGCGCCGCTTCCAGACGACCCACTCCAGCTTTATTTGTCGTATCGCGCCATCTGTTGGTGGTTTTATGATTTTTTATATATTTTTTTGTATAATAATTTCAATGTGTGGCACGTTTTAATACTCTCATTGAAACTCAAACTTTACTTAGTTATAAAAAAAAATGTTTTTTATTTACCTCACATTTGTAAATTCATATTGTTTTTTCCGTAGTAACTGATATATTTGAATTGTCAGAGACAAACGTTTTACACACTGTTAGCTAGTTTAGAAGCTGAAGTAATATCGTTACAAAGATAATAAAAGTATTTATATACATTTTCAACAAACGAAATTTTTTTATATATATATGTAAAGCATCCACGGTTTTATAATTGAATCATTATAAGGTCTATTTATATACTCACTAATATTAACAAACACATCATCCAGTTGTTCTTCGTCATCGCTGGTCTCCGAGTCAGAGTCCCTTTGATCATCAGACTCCACAATGCCCGAGAACTCAATATTAAGGAAGGCAGACTCGATTCCCTCAGCCAGGTTCGGTGGTGGTTTTGACGCTTTTACTGATGGTTGTCTGAAATTAAATATCCATTACGTATAAGTTTACTTATAATACTAGTTTTATAGAGTACTCGCTAAATTTTCTTATCAAAATCAATTGTCAAACGTAAAATTACATAACTATTGGCAGATTAAGTCAAGAAAAATGTATTTAATTTATGACATAAACGTAGAATAACACAATTTTTTTAAAGTGAATTGATGTTTCAATAATATTATTAAATCTTGTCACGCTGAGAATATAAACAAACTAATACCTGGTAGGCCGATTCCGCCTCTCCAGACGTCGTTCAATCCGCCTTATTGTGTCTTCGTCCAATTGAGGCAATATCCCATCTATGAAGTTGGCGTTGACGTAATCGCAAACAGCTCCGCGACCTGCTCCCACGCACCCCGCCGCCCCACAACGCCCGCCGGCTGACACGCATACGCGGGAATGGTCGTCTGAAAGAGATGTACGTTTTTTATGAGGGTAGAAAGAGAGGGAGGTATAATGTTAAAAACGGCATTCTTTATAAATTGGTTTACTGAGGGTATTTAAAAATAATACAAAAATTATGATATTCTCTGTACTCTATCGATTACATTGTAAACATCACTATATTATATTAAAAACTATATATTTTTGGATACTCACAGGCTGTGATGTTCAAATATCTATTTTTGAGTCTGTTTTCTGGTCTGTAGCTGTGATGACTAGTGTGGCCTAAAGCCGCGGATTTAGCTACCACGATCTCATACTCCTTACTGAAAATACAAAAAATGGTTCTTGAACATTGTATTTCGATTATGTTATTTTTTTTTTAAATTTCATAAGGGCTTGTGTCTTCTTTTTTTCTATAAAACGGGGCAAACGGACAGAAGGCTCATCTAATTTTAAGTGAAAATGCGACTCATGGACACTAACACTGGCTCGCAAGTGCGTTGCCGATCTTTTAAAGAATTGGTACGCTCTTTTGTTGAAGGATCCTAACTCATATCCAGGTGATAGGAATGTAATATATTTCGTTAACCCATCAGATCAAGGAAAACGAATACACGTTCTTTTCTACTTTCATATCATTTATACATAGACAGAAATGAAAATATACCACACTTTAAACTTTCAATTAACGTACACGAATGCGTACATACTTTCAAACGCGTATACGCACCTAAACCCGATATCTCCATCGGCATGTAACGAGGCCACATGACTGGGAAAATGCTGTGCACGTACTAAGGGACAATGTGCGCCCGCCATTCGAGGCGGACGTCCGCATACGCTCTCTGCCGTGATCCCGGTGCCCGTATTGTTCCCTGTTGGAGGGGACGAACGGGATACTGAAAAATACATATATAGGTAAGAATTATATCAAAGAAAATAATGTTAAAAAGACATCACTCAAAGTATTCTTTTTGGTTTTCTGGTATTACAAAACATGAATGGATTTTTGTAGTACTGTATTTAGTACCATGATTACGATGTAATTTTTTTTTGTTCAGTTGTATGAATACTTTACCCTGGTGTTCTTTTGAATTCGATTAAATGGTAACCGATTTCCTTCAATTACCGTTCATAGGCAATAAAAACTCTGATCTTTTACACGAACAAGTAGCGAAACATAAACCTTATATATAAAAGGGCTACATTAGGTATTAAAAAATAAATAAGAATTAGGCCAAAACATTCCATAGGTATTAAATCCTATAGCCAAAGTTTATACATACCTGGTTTCTTATAGGTATTGAGTGGAGCCCGAGCTGCCCTTTCGCCCCCTTCCTCCAAATAATTGTAAGCAGCACTTATGCATTTGCTGAGACGAGTTCTGCATCTGATACAAAGTATCATACCTTAGTTTAACGTTATTTAGATCGTGTAATATGGAGTATGGGACAAATGAATACTTGTCGGTTCCCTTTTATCGGAAACTTGTCAAAGTAAAATAGTTTTACCTCCAATAAAGCACGCCAGCAGTACCGGCAGCTAACACAGTCATGAGGGCGGCTGCAAGTAGTGCCACGGACGCATTAGCTCCGCGCATAGCCTTTCCCACCTCAGGAGACATAGCCTCAGAATGGGCAGTACACCACTCACTCGATACTTGCTATAAAATAAGAATAAATTTTATTAATTTTATAATGATAAGCTAAATAAAATAAGAAGATAAATTATATAATATTAATCTTGTAGGTGGTTTAATACGTTAGACCCCAGATCTGTTTACATTTATATTTATAAACAGGATTGATAGGACCTTAAAACAATAGAAAAAATAGTTTCACACAAAATCAATCAAAGATAAAATAATATTATGTTTACATTGATTTTACCTCTGGCGGTGATTCAGTGCCATTGATCAAAGTGTCCGGACGCGCGACTGACAGCGTCACCGCGTAGATCTTCACTTCGTACTGTGTTACGTTCCATAGCTGCACATTCTGCAAAATGCAAGTATTGATGGTATTGTGGTTACTTAATGAAAAATATCTATGTGATCGTTATTTAACCATATTTTATCGTCGGTAGATATTTAAATTGTTTAATTGATCTGACCTAGCCCTTTCGTTTAGCTAAAGACTTCACGATACACAGCCTCTCCGTGGTATGTCCATACCCTGAAGTGATCAAATCTATGATTGGGCAACGAGTAATATGTTTTTCAAGAACAAATTAGAATTTGCACCACGGCAACAAATGTAAATTCACGATTATTATGTTATTAATTTGTCATTGTCAGTTGAGTTTACCTTACAAAATCACATCTATTATTCAGTTTAAAAGTCTTTGAACCGTCGACTCTTTCAATCCGGTAAAAAGCGTGTCAACTCGTCATCAAATTACCATAAAAGTTTTTCCTTAATGTAGACATTTCACGGAGCACTTAACATGTAAATTGACGGCAAACTGTCTAATCCGATTACACGAGTAAGTATGCTTTATCTTTCTTAGGGTGGAACTACGCGTGCTAAAATTCATTTTATAGTTTTGTCTGTACGCTCCCCTATTCACAATCGAACGTAAAAAGTAAAGTTGAAAAACATAGTTTTAGAATATTAAGTATATTAGAGGCTAAATCAACTCACACACTCACACCATCACACAACACAACCGAATTAGGCATTACTTCGTTCAATGTATTGAATGATTTTTATTATTTTTTCCTTTTGTAAATCTTTAGCATTTCGTGATCAGTTTAAGAATAGCGCGTATATGAAAAAATATATCAGTAGTAGTATTTTTTTACTTAGACCAAATTTTTACTTTGTCAATTAGTACTTTTATTAAAACATTAATTCATTATTGCTTATTTACATTTCTCATAGCATTATGTGCTCTTGTAATTTCTGGATTTTGATACTAAGTGCAAGTCAAATTTATTCTCTCGTACATATTTTGTGATGACAAAGTAGACACTGATACTCACAACACTGATCGTGGTCTCAATATCATCCTTGCTGGTGGGTAACTTGAGTCTCGTGCTAGGCTGTTGCTCAGGTAACTTCCTGAGGGTCACCACATACAGATCCAAGGAGTTATTGTACTCCAGGGGTTGACGCCATTGGAGGTAAAGTATACCTGGGTAAGCAGTTATAGATATGAAAAATTTTTTTTTTAGATTATCAATATTATTTGCTCTGTTAAAAATGCTATATGAGTTTACTTTTACTTGTTCTGAATACAGGATTCGGGAGTGTTACCGATTCTATATTTTTATTTTGAAATATAATATATCAATCATATCATAGTTGCCATTACTTGGGAGTGATATTGGTCTGCAATCTAACTAAACGCATTAATATTATTTTTATAATTTAAAAGTATTTACCTAACTAAACGTAAACAAATAAATAGATTAAATAGTATAAATAATAAAAAACACTTAATTTGGATCACAATAGCACAAAACAGGAGAAAAATAAATAAATGAAGGCAAAAGATGTGGGCGGTCTCATTGCTAAAAGCTGTTTCTTCCAGACTAATTAATTCAAAAGAAAACAGTAACGCGGGTTACGTCGTTTGATAAATACTTACCATTTGGTAAATCACACGTAAGATTTAGTATAATGGGCGCTGAGGGTGGATTCACATCAGATAGGACGTACAGCGGAGTCGACTGGGGACCCAAGCGTTGAAGGAGATCTTGGGACTTGACTCCAGTCAGTTGGAAGTTGTAGAATGCACGGACCCATATCTTGTATGGAGTGAAGGCCTCTGGAGAAAAAACATACATTCAGATTCCTATTTTCACATAAGGAAATATATTAATTAAGTTTTTTAAAGTTGTAGAAATCTCGTCTGTGTGCATAATATCACTGTTTAAATTGAACCACTCCTGATTTATTCGACATGCAAAACCTGATTCTTGACACTAATAAAACCTTGTATGAATACTATAAGTGTAACAGAGACTTCTGAAACTCCCACGCCTCCAATTAGTTTTATTACTTGCCTATACAACATCATAAATTACTTACTCAAATTCTTCAATCGAAACCCAACAACTTTAGTGGGAACACCGGACGTATTCAAAAGCGTAAGATTCTTCGTCGCATTCAAATAATCCTCCATACCAAGATCGCTTCTAAACACATTCCGTCGTTTAATCTCATCCGACGTCGGAACACCAGCTACGAATATCGAATCGCTGGACCCTTTCCGAATAGCGACACCTTCTTCGTAATACAGGACGTACGCTATTTGAGTTATATCAATTTTAGCTGGAGGTGACTTCTTGACAACTTCGATTGGTAATTCAAAAGCTTGGTGAGTTTCAACCTCAATTTTCTCATGCGTTACGTTATCCTGCCTTCGTTTTCTGTGTCTGTGTGATCTTATGTCTCTCTTATTTCTATAGTCGTCTGATGCGAAGTCATCGTTGTATTTGAGCCTGTCGTTGTTGTATAGTGTGTACGCATAGTCTTTGAGTTTTTCTGGTTGCGGCTCTTCTATTGGGGCATCGGCCTGAGTTCTGGGTATCACTTGCAACTCGTCGTGTTTTGTGGTTCGATCTACGGTGGAATCCAAAATGTGTACTGTGTATTCGGATGGCGGGGCCCATGACAGATGTATTTCGTCTGATATAACTCTATTCGCTGTGAGGTTTTGTGGAGCGGACGGAACTGAAAATAAGTAAAAGGGTTAAAAAATGCCTTTTCATCTCAGTTATTAAAAATGGCTGAATATTATCTTCTCCGGGGTAAAGCCATTAAAAAAATCGCAGCAGGATCTCGCTAGAAAGGCAAGTATAATAATAAATAAGATATAATAAATTGATATAATAAAAATTAACAAATTAACTTTCACTTGAAAAATACTAGAAATTATCGTAAAACGAAGTATCGTAAAAAACACGTAACTTCTATTACGTTATAATTATATTTAAAAAAATCGAAGTGGTTATTGAACTTGAGCCAACCGTTACAATATTGAACAAAACTTGTTGGGGCCGGATGCAAAAAAGCTTAATTAGATGGAAATCTACACATATAAAATTAACTGTACATACAATATTAATGTTGTATAAAAACTTTTTTTACTGCTCTCAAAATTTAAAAAAATCTTTGAGCCTATATTTAATCCCTGCAAACGGAATATTAATATGTGGTTTTCCTTACGTTACTCCGTCAAAAATTGTTTTCGATGTCAAAAGAGCAAACACCATTTATAATAAGGGCTCCTAATTAGTTCATACGTACCGTTGCTTGCTTTATTCTGATAAACCAGTTATTTTAAATTTATCAGCTCAGACAATTGCCAATCAGACTGTCAATATTAGTTACATAGTAGTATTATCAAGTTCCGTTATGTATTTCGTTTCTATGTGCCGTTATTACTTTGCCATTAGCCAATATCCTACCTATTATTACAAGAAGAATTCATTGCAATCTGTCTAATCAAAGGAAACTGAAATAAAAAACGTACAATGGGCATAGATTGCCCAACATTATTACCTACGGACGTTATTTTGTATCAGGAAGTGGATTTCTAATTGCCTATCTAAAAGTCCAAGCTAAAATTTCAAATGCGAAAGTGACTATGATCCGAAACTATTCTGAGGATACGAGTTAACAGATAATAATATTAAAATCACAATTTTCCCTTGAAATATACATTACTACAACCGACCGGCCGCCGACCCGTCGACAGGAATTGCTGGAAAGACGGCTTCAAGTGCCCTATTCTCTAGTTTCGGGGGCCAAGGTTCACTTTGGGTCGCTTCGCCAGTGAATTGAGTAAGTAGTATACATAACTACATATATTTACTATTAATTTATCTAAATATTTCAAGGACCTTATTCGTTAAGCTCTCCTACGATCTTGATCTATATATATCTAATAACTAAACGATATTGAAAAATTTCTTTGAAACGGTGTACTTTCTAAATGGACCAATTGACATCAGAGTGTTGAAGGTGAAATTCAGGAGCAATTGACTCCTCAAAGTACGAAAGAACAATTAGGTAAAGTCAAAAGCTATATCTGTATATTAGAACCTTGTAAATATATCTTTACCGAACTATAGCACTGCAGTCTAATAACCAGGTCAGGCAGAAGAATACATTAATTTTAATCTACAATCAAGATATAAATACAATACGAGCTCGTGTCCCTGAATCTCAAGAAACTCTCAACATTTTCTTTCAAGCAAAAACCTCAACCCGTTTATGTCGTTGACCTATTATTCTGCTTTTGTTAGTTTTTATTTTATAGATTTTGTAACCCTACATCTAGTTTGCTTACAAAATCATCTTCTTGTAAGAATATATTGGATAATAATATATTTTATATAACAATGGATTGTCGTAAACGCAGAATATATTTTTTGACAAGCGCAACATGCAGTACCTAATGTTGAAGTATTGTTTGTCACATTGAACGCGAAGATGATGATGGCCTCCGTATTTAAAGTTTTAAAAAAATCAGTAGCGATACAACCTTTTTGGGTCTGGACCTCAGATTTCTGTATCTGTTTCATTTGTCAATCTAATAAGCTCCTGTGTCACACACGCTTGGTTCTAAGGCAAGCCGGTTTTCTCGCGATGTTTTCCTTCACCGTTCGAGCGTATGTTAAATGCGCACATAGAAAGAATATCCATTAGTGCACAGTCGAACCTACGATCTCAGGGATGAGAGTCGCACGCTGAAGCCACAAGAACCACACGTATTTAAAGTTAACAATGTTCTAATGGCTACGCAGTTATACAATTCGTAAGACAAGTCTTTTCATGCCAAACACTCTTTGAATCATAATAAAAGTCACACCTTTTAATATCTAATATTAATCGACTATATGTTGCATTCAGCTACAATTGAGAAAAATGGAGCATATCGTTTTTACAGCTGAAAAAAGACAGCTAAGTTTCAATCGAAAAAATACACAGCAAAAACTGTAACAAAGGTGAAAAACGAAAATCCATAAAGCTCACTATTGATGCTCTATCAATTACGAGGTAAAATCCTTCTTAATACCAAATACAGAAAGCTGCGAATCCCTTGAGCTCATCGCATATGGCTATTGTATGTAGCACCACTGTAGTGTACTCGCTCTTGACAGTAATCAAAGTGAATGGCGACGCGTCAACTGCGCTAAATTGAGATTGGCCACAGAGTGTTGCATGTACTCTATTTCTATTATAGAAATGACTCTCGTTACGAAACGCTTGTGTAACTTGTACAACAGAAGCTTTAATATAGAGGTTGCTAAAAGGAGTAGTAGTGCAGAACCGTCGCTTATTTATCGAATTAATTATGATAATAAATGTACTACGGTGTCTATTTAATCAGGGTCAACGCACACGTTGGAATTTACATGAACGCTATGGCTTCATTTGTATATAAAATCATGCAAATGAACAAAATCTGAATTAATTTGACTTAAAATCGATCATAACATCCTCGTACCTAACAACGTACCTACCCTTTATATATGTAAGATAATTTAACAATATTCACAGTTTCTCAACTACAGATATTCTAAGCTGTGACCATACAGTGAATCGCTGATGGATCTGACCTTAGCGAGTGCACCCTCATAGTCTTGACACTTTTATGTCTATTTAAATTGTATTATTCTGGACTTGCTCCCACGTATCATTCGTGTTTAAGTTCTTTGAATAGTAACTAATTTTGTCTCGATTTAATTTAATCAAAGTTACGTCACAAACAAATTTATAAAATGTACTAAATTGATAAAATACATTCGAATTACACTGGTTTTATAAACACTGAATCAGAGATGCATTTTTCGAATTTCTCTAAACATCTATCGTGTTTACGTGCCTTAGTTTCTTACGCTTTCGCACATTAACTTAGCCCACTTTTCTTTTTTTTATCTATACTAAAAAGAACGAACCTCAGGTGTTTCTTTTTATTTAACTCTTGCGCAGTCAACGGCACGACCATACAAATGATTCTCCATTCTCCTCTAGACGATATTTGGAACTGAATATGTCGCAGACCAAGTGTTTCCTCCTTTATTTGTGTTTCCGAAGTCGCGAGACTAACTACTTTACCAGTACTATAATTACCATATTCGTGGTAATTCTGTTAAAAAAGCTAAATGAACTTCTTTGTGACGTAACATATGTAGGTTACGGTCGTAATTACTAGCAGTAAACGAGCGTGTAAAATAATACGATACGAAACTACAATAGTTAACTGGTACTCGTTCGCAAAACTTTTAATGAGAATCATGAATGCGTGCTGGATAAGTCAGTTATAACAATATCGTGAAGCTCAGTAGTTTATCTACTTTATACTTTTCTGATGATTCGTTCTGACATCACACGTATAATAGAAAAAATACTTTGTGATTTGAAGACATCGTTACAAATAAATTCTCTAGAGATTGCCATCTAAATAATAAGATTCTCCTCGTGCATTAGACGAATTTAGAAATGTTAAATTTTATTTTTTATAGTAGGCACTTTTATAAGCTTTTACTTTTATTTCTGCTCTCAAACATCATGTAACAAGTAGGACAATCAGATACTGATGAAAAGATGTTTTAGGAAGGATATACATATGTAAAAATGACATAAAAACTTAAGAGGGCACTCTTTGTATTGAAGAAATCGCATGGGTCCCGCAAAGCATCCGCGAATATACACTGAAAATACATAATTATGTAGGAATATAGAAATTAATAATAATTAACACAGCAAGGTCTCTAAAATGACTCAGCAAGTCTCCATGGAGTTTGACTAGTGGACATTTTCAGCAACTTTTACAGACTAGGGTAACAAAATTCAGATTAGCGAGAGCGACAAATGTTATCCTTAAGGGATAAGAAGTAGTTTATATTTCAAAAGGACAACCAACAGTAAAACTGTACTTTAATTGTTAAATTCGTCTAACAATGTTTTTACGTACCCAAATTACTCTATTCATTCTCAGTCCTACCATTTAAAGAGATCGCTATAAATATTCGTAACGACACGGACAGGAACTAAGGACTGAACTCACAATTGATGGTGACAGCTACGAGAGAATTCTTACGGTACAAACAATTATGCTCAACTAATTTACGTGAATTTGTAGTTGAACATTCTCTGTAATTTAATATTTTAATTGCTACAGCACGTTGTCTTTGTGAGTTGGTGCGCTTGAATTCTCGTCGTAGCACATCTAATATTATGATGAAATCTATTAAGATATAGAATTGATTCAGAACAACACATTTTTATTACTTTCTTACTATAATTATTACCTTACCGTCCAAAATTTACGTCGTACATATTAGTTACATTCAAGCAAGTGTCGGCAAAAATAAAATATAGTTCAATGTTGGCTTCATATAATCTACCTTATAAGTGGAATAAAACGTTTTTGGCTCAGTAATTTTCACTAACTAACCGACGAAAATTGGATCTAGCTTGATTGGTATTGAGCGCGAATCTTCGCCGACTTGGCACGACACATTTGCTTTAAAACCAGGTCGCGGATTAATTGCCTATGAAAAAGTCATCTGGTCCAGTGGCACTACACTACATCCCTTGGTCAACTGGTCTCATTTACTTATCTGTTTCAATTTTTCAATTTGTTTAAACCGTTGATTTTTGTCTTAAACGTGATGGTTTCCACCAGCCTCATCTAGTAGAAAAATTATGCACAAGCAAGTTGTAAACTATTAAGAAGAATTTATAGGTATACATTCGTTCGGCTCTCTAAATAAATGAAACAAAAAGGTGATTGACTATAAAGCAGTTACTATTAAAAGCGCATTTAGCCGAATCATGAATCAAATAATATATGAATAATAAAAGTGCAATAGATTTATTTAGCTGCGTCAAATCCTGGCTCTGGTGTTGTTAGATGATTAAGACGGGAATATTCAAATTCCTATTGCAAAAAAATAAAACTTCTATACCGAGGCACACACGGCTCCGCGTTCTAGCAGTTTATTGGAAGACTTGAAAACAGCGGCAGGAATATACGAATGAATAAGAAGTTTATTTATTCCTCAAAAATATTCTCGAGGCGGGCTTTTGAGCGGCGTAATTAAAAAATGTTTCCGAATCTACAAGTGTTTAATATTTTATTTCGATAAGGTGGATTACAGACGAATATACGCTTATTAAAGAATCCTACTAGATATTTAGCGTAGTTATATGTACTTTTGTTTTGCCTGTTTATCTAAAAAAAAGTATTCTATTTAAATTACGACATTCGATATTTTTATCAGTGTAATATTAGAGTAAAAATAAATAAATCTACGATAAAAAACAAGGCATTAAATGAGAGTATACTATTATTCCAACATTGTGTTTATACTTCGAATAAATCCCTCATCATTATTGTATCAACAGCCTAATATGCAATATGGCTTTTTCCATTAAAAGGTTTAAGAGATGCAATTGCAACTATAATGGGGTTTCTAGGTTATAATCGTGCAATTTTAATTTGTCGGCCTATATTTTTCTATTCAAATGACTCTCAAAGAAAAATAAAAATGTTTGTGAAAAGCCTCCGTTAACAATGAAAACATTTTGTTTTTTATCTAATTAGCCTTTTCATTGCATGAAATAAGTGAAATGGAGCATTTTTCTGTATTTATATTATGGCTGTTAAGCATAAACTGTTTACACTAAACTTAATATTTCTGTTCTGTATTGGGACTGCTACAATTCACTGCACTGCACATATTTTAGATAAACCAATTCTTTGTATTGGTAATTGAAGCCAATAACTTTTAGTGATCTGCGTAACTATTAGTCTTATGCTTCAGATTAGCCTTATTTCATTAATCTCTAGTCTTTTTACTCTGGAAAGTATGCCCAGGATATGGTCCATCCAGACTATGGTGCTACCTGTGGTGTATGGTTAGATAAGACTTCATGTGTGCGGTAATATTAATTGTTTCCACTGTTATTCACCATGTCTACTGCTGATAGAGGCTAAAGATTTGTTTTTTATTTATATTATCACTATGAATGAGGAGCAAGGTGTAGTGGTTGCAGTTCCTTACAGAATAAAAACTTGGTGATTAAAAAGAGTTGTAAAAGGAATGTGAATTTACAATCAAATTTTTTTTTTCATTCTTAAATATTGTAAGTACATTAAGTTTACCTATCCATTACCAAGTAAACCACAGTGGTAGACATAAATAAAACAACTACATACCAAAAACGTATATATCTTGAAATGTAGTCATTAGAAGATCAAGGTTAAGATTTAAAGCAATTAACTGATGTCTCACAGCCAGCTATACAGCATATTAAGATAATTTAACAATGTTTTCTTTTATATGTAAATTAAGTTAATAACAATCTTTTTTTATACATAGTATGTACTACTAAACAAATAATATTTTAATTTGACTTTTAATCGATTATTTTATGAATTTACTGCTTAATACTATTACTTAGCAAATTCAAAACACAAATTCATTTATAATTGGATAAATGATATTTAATTTTAACTGAAGTTGTTTGTTGCACTTTATGTTGTGGAACTAAATATTTTATTGAAAATGTAAATAACTAGGCTGCAGTAGGCCACTTTTGAAATGATCTGGAAGGCTTCTTCAACTGGAAACATGCATAGAGTGCTGGTTCCAGTACATAGATATTAAATTAAGAATGTGAGATGGTAAAAACACCCTTATGTGTCAGACAAAATAAATATTCTGAGAAACATGAATACATGATCTTATAAAACCTTCAAGAATGTCGGTGATTGTTTTAGACTTATAATTAATTAATTAAACAATTGTAACAAATCGTAGAATTAAAACTAATCCGTATTATACGTTTGTACGTACTATAATATATTTGCCGCTTTTAATAGGATTTCGAGGGAGACATCAGAATCGTCCAAAGGATAGGCGTTACATCCTGTGAGTCATAACGTTTAAAATTTATATTACCACACTAACTTCTAAATATAAATATTGCCACTTACCGTAAATCTCCAATATTTCGTTGTTAATACCAGCATTATCACAATGAACGCACAAAATAAATACAATAAAAATGGCTCCTAACGTGTACTGAAAATACATCTTTGTATCACAAAATAACGGTGTCCACCCGTAGTAAACGTCTAATTATTGTTCGTACGCCACATTTTCACTACAATATTACATGCAGGCAGTTTTAATCTCGTCAACAAGTCATTTATTTCCACTAAATTGTTTCCATCAAAATGCCATCGAACTAGGACCCCGCCGTCTGTCATTCATCTTGTCAATAAACAACAGATGTTGCCTGAAGATCAAAATTTAACACTTAACTGTAATGTTGCATGTTACCAAAATAAGTTGTAGTGATTATTTTAAATGGTATTCACAATATTTCAAAAATAACATAAATACGACATTATTTTCGTTAAATTGTTTTTATTTAAAACTACAACATATTATATAACTAGGTACATATTTGAAAAACACATTTACTATTTACAAAAATAGGAATAGCAACCCTAACAAGCATAGAGTACATGGTTTAAATAGTTATTTATGCTAGCAACACCAATAAAAAAAGAAGATTGTTTGTTCGGCTTTGGGTGTCAGCCGCTTAGTAAATTTTTTATTGTGATAAATATAGAATTAATCAGTGATATCGTCGTGTAAGTGAATAGAACATGAAATAACAAACATGCAATGAGTTTACTATTGTGGCTCCTCGTGTATTTTATGTGAAAGATAGCTTCTTCCGCCATGACTGTAGTTCACTTGGTGAGGAAGTGCCCCGCAACATTTGCGCTTTATTTCGGGTGTATTGCACTTTGTTATCCGGTTTTAGGTAAGTTGTAAACAATATGTATAAATAAAACAAACTGTAAGTGAAGCATATTGTCACATTATTTCTGTAATTACTGTTTTTCAAGTTTCGTAGCTTGTAAGAATCTATATTTTTTCACAAACATACTCGCAATTAAGGTATTGCTTTACCCCAGATGGAGTTTTTGCAAGAAATATAGTTACTATAAGCTTATTAGTAGATACGGAAAGATGACTATATTTTTACTAAACCGTACCCTTGTCTATTATGTGTAGGCGGCATTTATTATGGGCTTTCTAAACTTCATAATTTATTATTGTTTATGAATAAATTCTTGCTGGCTCAAGAGATGCAATTCACCAATTATCTGATGACTGATGGTTCTACGATATTGTATTTAAATGATGTGTATAACTAAGAAATGAGAATTAATGTACCTGCTTTAATTTCACACTACAATCTACTTTTACTAATAACTAACGATAAACATACAGATAAAGCACAATACTTATTGTAGTTTACTTAAACTACATTATTTATGCATTGTTTTGTTGAGAATATATTTTAGATACTCTATGTTACATCCTAATTTATACTACTTTTATAAGATACAAAGCCAACTTAATGCATTATTTCCACAACCTATTATTTTAAATGATTTAAAGTGCTTGTGGTCAATGATAGATAAAAAGAAAGAGTATAAAGAGTATCTTATCCTACATTGAATTAAGTCTCAAAATCAGTTTCTTTTTTTCTTATGCTTTAACTTCTATTTCATCTTAACTAGCGGTCTGTTCGGTCGGTTCTGCTATTATAGACTTTGTTTGTTTGTTTTTAAGATAAAAATATACTATACCTATATTAAGGGAAATTGTCCAATTTTAACAATGAGAGAGAGTTTTAAATTAGTCCAGTAGTTGATTTATTTATTACAACTATACAAATCTTTCCTCCTTTTAATTAGTAAATATGTATCTTCGGTATTTGTGTAAATAACTTTAGTGTACTACCACAGTGGCTAAGTGGTTAAATTTTGTTAGTTAATCTAGGCATGGCATGTATAGAAACCTGAAAACTCACATTTTTATAAAAAAATTTTTTGATAATATAAAATAATGTATTTAAGATATTGAATTTATTGGATAGATAATTTGTAATATGACAAAATGCTCATTCACACTTATAATGTCTAAAATGTATCAGACTTGACAACAACAGAAGTTTGATATTTATAGCATCTTATATCAACTTTTTGGCAACTTATAAGCACTAAAGGTATAAAAGTAATTTATATTATTTATTATAAAGGGAAACTAAATCTACCTATTTTTTAATATGAAACATATTATCTACAGGAACAAAATAAAAAGTTTTATTATTATAAAGTCAATTTATTTAGAAAAGCAGTCTTTTGATTTATCTTAATTTATTACATACAGACAATCATAAATATACTTAGATACTACACATAAATAATATACACAAAACTATTTGTTTTGGGTAAGTTATTGTTTTAAGTAGTGGTTTTCAACGTTACACCAGGGGTGCACATGAGAGCCTCTCGTAGGTGTGAAGTATTTGACTTCCAGCTTTCAATTCTTGTGGGAGTGTACTCACACATGGAACTAAAAACGGGGTGTTTTAAACCTGTAATTATCAGAGATTTAATTTAATTGTATGGTTTATTTAAATAACTAAACATGAATAACCTTGAAATTTTTTATATCAATATAATATGAGTATATTCTTAAATTCAAATTATCTTATAAAAACTTTCAATTGAAGTTTTAAAGATTTTTATAATAAGTTAACTAAATAGTATAACTTCCATTCAATAATAATGAACTTGAACTAGAAAGGAAATAGAGCAATACACAATATAATAGATACAATGAATAATTTTGTATATTTTTCAGTCAAGTTCACAGAACAAGGATAAAATTATTGTTGTCTTTTTATATTTTTTTCGTATGTTTTACACTAGTTTTGCAAATTACTTATGTATATTAATCTACAAATCTTCTAGATGCTCGCACAAAGAGTTTGTATACAATAACGTGACTGTAACTCATCTTACAGCTCAAGATGTGGCAGAGATTTTGGACTTATCATCAAAGGGTGAGCTTGGTGGATCATCTAACATAAGCTGCAGTGTTGCTCCGAGTGAAGTACAGGTGGAATGGCTTTATAATGGGGCACCTGTGAAATTTAATGAGAGGTACATATTAATGATTTTAGCAATTATTTTTTAATCAAATTCAACATATCTTTTAACTGTAACTTTAAGTAATAATATTATTTGTATTTTGCTTAATAGCTATATATATATCTATATTTATGTTTTTTCCGTCCCTAATGAAAGCTTATTAAGGCACCGACGCGTAAAAGAGGCGGGAAGGGACATATCTGTCTGTAACGTCGATCTCGTAATCGCATAAACAAATTTTTGTCTACTACTTTGTTAACATTACTTAAATTATTATAAAGGCATTAATTTAGGCTTTCCTTTTAGAATGAATTTTTTAATACTTATAAATTCTCATTGTCTATTCACACTTCGTTACATTTATTCAAAACGAATAACATAATACATAAAAACTATAAGGGATGCAACGGGCGGCCTTATCACTAACAAGCGATCTCTTCCAGGCAGCTCTAGTAAGAGAAAAACTAAAAAAACGAATATGATGGACTTTGCAAGAAGTACATAAACAAATCCTATCTTATTTATTTTACTACCACAAATTGTCGTATTAAATAAACTGAGTTAATCCGATGAGCGACATTTTTCGATGAAGTGGTCACATCGTTGGTCAAGTGTCACGTATCTTGATGGGGGTTGAGTGAGACCTTGAATCACTGGCAATGGACTATTTAATTATTTATTCACGCCTACTTTGTTATTATGGTAAAATCATAATAGAAATGTAAAAAATAAAACTTTGAAAATACTCGGTTTCTTCTTTCATCTGTTTCAGTGGTTTCGGGGGAGGTCGTTGCTCTTATGAGAATTACAATTTAAGACATAGCAATATTTCCAAGAAAACCCCACCTAACTCGGACAATCTCATTCGTTTAGCAGTGTATAAAAAAGACTTTTCAAGTGAACGTAGAGATTATAAAAGCAATATCAACTATGCATTTCCATTGATAATATTTTCAGTAAATCTAACCTACTTAGGTTATGGTTTCATTTTTTAATGTCGCATTCATCGTATAAGCTTGGATTAATATTCGCTGTCATACGATAAAAAAACTAATTGAATTGCACTGCAAGTAGGTCGGGTTATCAGTCAGCTCCTGATAGGTTTGCTTTTAAAGGATAAAGCTTTAAACTTTTAACGAAGCTAATATTGATCTTTCAATTTCCTACTATGTTTGGTGCTTCGTCGCTATTCAACTATTAATCATTGATTTTTGGCCGATACACTGATTTTGGTACTAAAAAAATATATTTATTTTAAATGATTTCCTATATTTTATTGTATTTTTTACTATAAAATTAAATTTTACGTTTTTCTATATTATATTATTTGTAATTAAATTTTATAAAATAATAAGCCTTTTGATTCCTCGTACAGTAGAACTCCAATTATTCGAACTCCAATTATCCGAATTAATGGGGACCGGGACCCATTCGGATAATCAAATATTCGGATTAAAAAAAAAAATTGCCATTGGAGAGAATAAAAGCTACGTTTTGATATTGCACTATTTTTTTATTGAATTAAATGAAAGAAACTACCTACTGTACTTGTAATAGATGCCTGAAAAATATTGCTTGTGGGCGTTAAAGCGTAATTAAAAACAGTTTTGTTTTAAATTAGTCTCAGAGAGACCTAAGCGCTAATTAAAATCTTAATGTAACCCAGATTGTTTTTGTTTGACGAATAACTGAACAAACTTGGCAAGTGTTCTTTCGTTGTTGTATTGTAATTGATATTACCTGTGCTGTGGTCTGACCCCGTTGACATTGTTGACCTAAATGTATGAGAAAATATGCGCCTACGCCATCCTATTTCTTATTTATTGGTTTGTCCTTTACTCCATAAATAACATATATATAATAAGATTATATATTTATCTGAATAAATAAATCCCAGAATTTCCTTATATTTGTTCTTGTTTTAATATACAATGTTTACGAAAATATGTACTATATTAAAATAACTACGTATGACAAAATCCTATTCGTTATTCACATACGGGATAATCGTTCACGCTAAGACTTGACCCTACTTGGCAGAAGAAAAATATTTTCATAAATAATTTCTTTAATTATAAAAATAATCCACAAAATTATGCACATAAATTGCGACGGTTAAAATAAAAGTTACCTTGACATAGTTCAAACATAACGTAACTAATGGTTACTAGAAAAGAACTTTTTACTAATGACGGCCAGTTACCCGTAAAAGTGCGAACTATATGTCCCATAGGCTTAAGCAGACTATTACTAAGTATCGTGATGCCTATTGTCACACGGAGGAAATAGCTTTCCCTGCGTTTATATGTACACACGACTTGTGTAAAAATAAATATTATTTTACAGAATCAAAGAAAACACTGAAGAGAAACTATTGCACAAAAAAGACTTAGACGGGAACCAGCAGAAATATAAACTCAGTAACGTGTCGATAACAAACACAACAGCCAGCGATGATGGGAACTACACGTGTGTAGCGAAACTGGGGGAGAAGAGGTCAGATAAAATGGTCCTACTGGATCTAAGTTTTCCCGGAAAATTGGTGAGGAACACGGCCGGTCCTATCAAGCAGAATGCGTCCGATCAGGTCAATGTCACGTTGGAGTGTGTTTTTGAAGGTAAAGTCTATGTATATTATATTGTTTAATGCCGACTATCGCTGTAGTTCCCTACTTGTTATTGTAATCTGTCTTAGATTCGATTATCGGCGTATGCAAATGTGTTTAGGGGGCTCGAAATAATCTCTATATATATAAAATTCTCGTGTCACAATGTTCGTTCCCTTTATACTCCTCCGAAACGGCTTAACCGATTCTTATGACTTTTTATTCATATTCAGTAAGTCTGAGAATGGGCTACCATCTATTTTCTAACCCTTAGTGATAAGGAGTGTCCACCCCAATTTTTTTTTTTTTAGACAATTTTTTTATGATACAACATACAGAAATACATACATCCTTTAATTTTCACCTTCTCCTTTTTTTTAGTAGGTAGTTATTTTTATTGAACAAAAAAAAATGTTTCCTAGAAATAATATACATGGCAAAACGACGTTTGCCGGGTCAGCTAGTTAATATATAAATATCTATAACCTTTCAGTGAAACCCTTACAGAAAAGATCTTAGTTCTTCTTTTCATTCAAATCCTTGTAAATATAGGTACAATGGTGTTTATCAAACTGATCCCCTGTAAGATTCTAGTTTACACCTCACTTTACGATTAGGGTATAAATACATACAGCTGAATTCTATTGTATTAGGTACTTAATAACAACGTCATCGGCTGTTACGACTATCGGTTTTTTCGACCAAATATGAGTAGGCCCTTCGATGTCGTTATAACATATTTTGACTGTATACTATAAATAAATACTTGTAAATTGTATAAGTACATACAATTTATAAGTATTGTATTAAGTACCCAAGTATACATAATATAAAGTTTAAATGTAGAAAAATATGGAATTGAATATATTCCTGCACTCGACAGAGTTTACTGCATCTTTCATAAAAATATTCGCCGTGTTGACAATTTTAACGAAAGTGCACTCGTTTCTAAGAAATGTGATAGTTTTATTTTTAACAGTTCAAGTTTTACGTTGCTAAGCTCACAGTACAATTTGTTTATACCATTTGCTAAAGAATTGTAAAATTTTGAAATTATGTCCGGACTGACTTTTAACACGTAAAATATCTTAACTTTTTTATCTGTTCCTAGGTATAAAATACTAAAGCAAGATTTATTTACTTATCGTCTATTATATACTACTTAGTAACTTAAGACTAATAGAATAGAAAACTTATTCATATAAAAATTAAACTAAGAACATTTATAATGTAAACAGAACAAGAAAACATAAAATCTTAACCTTTTTATAACAAACACATTGTCTCGAGAAATGTGCTCGACTCATTTGAAGAAGAAAGAGGAATTTTTAAACACTGCCAGATACTGCCCATAACAGAAAAAGTAAATAAATGCCTTCTAGTCGAGCACTTTTTTAGAGGTGAAATAAAAAAAGAAAAAACTTTTTAACCGGATTAAAGTTATGTATTATTATAAATTTACAATTATTTAACATAATTTTAAATTTATCCGACGTTTCTTTAAATGTGTAAAGGTTATGTTAATCAAAGACAATACTATAAAAAAAAGAGTTGATCATGACGTACAGACCCAAGCGGTAACACAAGTTCAGCTCTGTACATCGAGAAAAAACAACGTATATGGCGAGAGTATTTGCTACCGCGGCAAGTCCAGTCATTTATTAGATTGCTGAACGTTAACCAACATAAAAAGTAAATTAAAAAACTACTTTTATATGCATTTGTCGCGTTCCTTAACAAGACTGCTATGGTTACATTTATACAAACCACAGCGGCTTTCTTTTCTAATATAACACATTATGATTTTATTGAATTATTCTGTAATATAAATAAATTAAAAAAAACTAATTATAAATAATGCAATTCTTGTAAAGTCAGCCAGTGTGATGATGATGATTATATCACCAACATTATTTTATTTCATAAGTGCTACAAAATATTATGCCGTATCAATATTCTTTGATAGTCACAGAACCAAGTCGTTTTTTTTAAACTAGAAGAATAAATATTAAACCTACTTAATTTTAATTCGTTTCAGTATATAAACCCAGCGAAGTGAAATGGTGGAAACAGGGGAAAGATGACGAAATAACAGATCTTACAACGAAACCGCCTAACAAAATTAGTCTGAAAGAAATCCAAAGTAACTACGACCTTCGAATACACAGTCCCGAAGACAACGGGACCTACATCTGTCAAATATTCGACAATGTGACGTCACTAAATATAACCGGAAACGTTGACGTCATAGTCTTCGCTCCACCCCAAGTCGTGATAGACACGGTGATACCCATCAGCGCTTCACAACTTTTCGTTAACTGGACAGTGAGGTCGTATAACTCGCCAATAAGGTTCTACAACCTAATGTATAGGAAATTACCCTCGACGGATTTCAGTCTTTACACAAGAGAGAAAATTGGAGTCAAGAATATATCGTTTGTCATGGAAGGCTTAGAGAAGTCAACGAAATACCAATTAAAGTTGGAAGTGACAACTATGCACGGTCAGAGCAAGCCACACATATATGAATCGACCGTTCGGACTTTGGACAAAGATCCTATATTCGTACCGAATATTTCCATCAATGGATTTTCGGCGACATCGGTGACTATCGGTTGGGCTCCTCCGCCGGAGGATATAGCTGAGCTGATACACTATTACCTCCTCGAAGCGAGGAAGATGGGCGAAGTGGCTCCCCGAAGGGCTTATCACTCGAGGGATAGTCGTAACCTGCCGTATATGTTTGATAACTTGGAGCCACATAGCACGTATGTTTTCAGGGTAAGTGAAATATATACAAAATTCTTTTAAAATTTATATAAACGCAAAATTTAAGGTTTTACTCTCGTACTGCCTGTGTGCTATTTTATATACCAAAGGAATATCTCTATGTTCGATATAGTAAGAAAAACTCGCGATTCGCGGGTTCGTTTGTCAGTAGAGTACCTACATTATTAAATATCTTCACATTGTTTCAGTGAATTTCTGTGAACCTGATATATAACTATTTTTGACGTAACATCATCTTAAAAATCGATGAACGCCGGCTGCACGTACGAAAGCATTAATCGTTGTCCCGTTACGCTCATTGTACGCTTGCCGATAGATGCGGCATCTCTCTCATTTGGCCTATGCCTCCAAGGATTCACTCCTTTATATCCATACAAAATAGTGATAATTCAATAAAAATTGTTCAAAATGATTCATTAAAGTATGCAATAGTTTCATCAATGTTTTGTTATGACATTGTCACGGTAAACTATCGTCAGTAAACCGACCTTACAGATCACCATTTTTTTTTAAATATTTTCAGGTTTGCGCCTGTTCAGACTTCACAAAGCGGTGCGGCAACTGGTCCAGTGAAATGCAGGCAGCCACCCTGGACGGAATACCCGGTCGAGCTGCCAATGTGACCGTCCATTGCGCGAGTAGCTGGATCAATCTCACCTGGCAGCCTCCTCTGAAGCCCAATGCTGAGATTAAAGGATATACGGTATGTAGAAAACAAAGAACAATTCAATGAATATTTAAACACGTCCAAAAAAACAAGAGCGTTGAACTGATGAAAAAAGAAAGTCTCAAGTAGAAATTTGTTTTATAAAGTACTAGCAACCCGGCTTTACACCGGAATATGCTTATTTTATTATATCTGAAAGGGATTGATTCAGCGTCCGTGAAGGTTCCCAGGCGGATGACTTCCAACACGTCCGTCGTTCCACAACTAAGCATTTTTAAGGCAGTTTTTGCCGCGCACCACCACTACGTGGAACCAGATACCCACTGAAGTATTTCCCAACCAATTCGACTTAGGGTCCTTTAAGAAAGGAGTACCAGTTCTTTAAAGGCTGGCAACGCAATTTGCTGGCATTGAGAGTGTCCATGGGCGGCGGTATCACTTAACATCAGATGAGCCTCCTGTTTGACCCCAGTTATATTAAAAAAAAACTGTCAACATTTATCGTTATATTCCGTTATTCGTTATCTATTAATGAAAATCTGTGCAGTAGCTTTTGTGTTCATCACGAACAGACAAACAAAGGTTTTGTGGAAGCAGGTATTAATGTTATGTTGTGGAAGCCTTGATTAAATGAACTGTCTTTCAGATGGAGTTGACAGGAAACGCCACATACAGAGACCGGTATGGCTCCGTCAAGGAAGCCATGTGGGGCCCACTCACCAAGTTCAAAGCTAATGATTCCAGGAGTGTTCGGTGAGATTTCACTTTTCAATGACAATTAATTAAATAACAACCGATTTTTTTATGCGTCTTGACTGAGCCATCATGGAACATTACGATTTAGCCTAATATAAAACTAACCTAGCAATACAACAAGTACTTTTATATTAAATATCTATGTTAATCACAGCAGTTAAATATTTAAAAAAAGGTTAATTTCTAATTATTCCAGAGTAGAGTAAACTTGAATAAAATTTCTAATATTTTAGGATGTTTACTCAATAAGAATGATTTTAGGTTCGAAGATCTCCAACCGAACACAAACTACACAGTACGCTTGAGTGCGATGACTCGAACCCGTAGACGAGGTGAAGAAGAGACAAGGTATTGCTCCACTGCGCCGGCGCCGCCTGATTCACCACCGAGACCTAGGTGGAGGAAGGTAATACAAACAAACATTTAACCGACAAACAAATCAAAATTCATTTGATCACAAATTTGACAATCGGCCCCGTAAACTCATAAAATATATACTATTAATCTAGTAAAGCGTGGACTAATCTACCAAAATATATAAAGATACAATTTTTTTTTTCTTTTATAAAATATATCCACATACTTATGGCTCCAACATACATATGTTACCCGTTTGTAACTATTAATGTTTTTTTACTTGTGCTAGTATCGAACTATGTATTACAGAAACGGTATAACAGACTTTACATATAAATACTGAAAATTAGTTTTTATTACACACTTTATTACAGATACTGGAGAACGATAGATATATGTTTACCATGTATCTCCCAAGGATATCGGAAAGGAATGGACCCATCTGTTGTTATAGGTGACTAATTTGTTTTTTTTTTTATTAAATTATAAATATTGATAAAGGAGTAATATTTGAGTTATTTTTTATGAAGGTAAACTGATCTTTCTGAAAATCTGGTTATTTGAATATCAGAAAGATCAAAACTGATCAGTTCAAAAGACTTATAAATACAAACATTGTTCATACATCTGCTTTTATTTATTTATATTCTATGCTATGTCAAACTATTCTATCTAATACATTATATACAAAATCAATGTCCTCAGAGTGTACATGGTGCGTCTTCTGCCGCACTCTGATTGGTCAAACCTGCCTCCTGCCCGAGACATCAGTGTGCTCCAGTACGAGGAAGCTCATGCCGTACAGCCCACTTTGGGGGCTTATATCACCGATGTCTTCTCCAAGTTAGTATATATCTTGAATAATCACCATAGGAAAATACTTACGAAGGCATATAATTTGAATAAGTTGTTAAAGTTTTGAACAATATTTTGTCTCTTGTCTAATAAAATAAAATTATAATTATTTGTTTTTCTTTTGTTCGTATTTCCAGTACCTAGTTCTTGTTGGATTAAAAAAAATTGGTGTAAATAATTCCAAGTAAAAATTAAATTTTTGGCCGGTTTTTACAATTAAAAAAAAATACGTATTCGTCGGAAATTGTTGTTTCTCAAATGAGAATTATGTTTAATTCCAGTGATAGATTCCCTCCAGACTCAGAAGTTATTCTGGGCGACGGGAAATCCATTTTCGATAAGGAAGATCCGGGCATCGTTCAACCGTCTTGCAAAAGATGTCTCCGTAAACCGCGTCGGTTCTTAGACGCCCCTGCAGTTCCTAAGACAACTACCACTGTCCCGACTACTAGAGATGACCTGTTCGAGGAGGAGATCGATACTACTGCTGAACCAGATTTAGAAGAGGAGAAAAGAGAGAGAAGATCGTACGTGGAGTTTGAAAGGTATGCAAAACAAATGAAAAACAAATTGAATGGATATTATTAAAATGTTTTAAGCCAAGGTACATGTTGTTATCTCCGGACTTAACTGAATTGCCTATGTTCCTACGATAATATTAAAAATATAATCTTATTTAAAACTAACAAGCCATCTCTTCTATCTTCTTCTAAGATGTGAGAAGCTTTGCATCTTAACATCAATGATGAAATCCAAAAAGGTTTGTAGAAACAGGCAAATAAGACAATGATAGATGATGATCCTTCATTGTGGAGTATTACTTACTGCAAAAGTTCAAATATTGCCTCTTGTAAATTTTCTTACTGAATATGTTAATCGCCATAAAAACTATTATTATGTAAGGCTTGTATTTCAGAGACTACATGAAGAACCCAATGATGATGGACAAATTGGTGGATGAGGAGCAGGATTGGGAAGAGGTGATCGTGAGGGACGGCATCTTGGATCCCGCCGCTAACTACACGTTATTCGTCGAGCTCATACGTAAGATTTATCTTTAGGAATAGGTTTATTATTTGTATGTATATTATGATTTTGCATCTGCAATAATTCTTTTTTCAGCGGGCAACGACCAAGACGAGGCCATCTACAGCGAATACGTGAACGTGCTGATGCCCGCTGCCACGCCCCGCCCGTCTACGCACAACGCTACCTTGGAAATTGCTCTTTTGGTAAATACAAAGCGTTTCATTTTGTTTCTATGTTTAATATACTAGTTGTAATACCGGAGATATTTCCGCATATATATATAGATAACTATGATTGTGTTTTAGAGAAAAAGTTGTAAAGCTTTATATATCTAACTTTTATATTATATAAAAAGAAGTCAAACTCCAAAATACTGGACGGAATTTATTGCGGTTTTCACCAATATCTAGATATTGGTGTCAGTCTAGGCCGATTTATCAAGGATATTAAATGTTTATGGCTCACAAAGTACTCATCTGTTTCTTTTCATCGCAGCGTAAACACAGTTTGACAGAAAGAAGATAGAAAGAATCTTGAAAGATTGAACAATATTTGGAAAAATTCAAAACAATATCAACCAAACCTGTTTCACTGAAAGAGACTCTCTTAGACAAAGTTATTAACTTTCGCAGATTGTACTTTCGTTTGGTTCGGGAGCTTTAATATTTGTAAAGTTGTAAAACCACTTCAACCTAGATTTCGAAGGTTCCTTCCTCATCTAGATTTGATCAATACTTGAAATGTGTTTATTGTGTGCCAGGTGACGTGCGCGGTGGCCGGCCTAGTGATTGTGGTGATGGTGGGAGTGTGCGTGGTGCAGAGCCGATCTGCGAGGAAACTGCCGCCTCATCCGCATCACGCCAATCTCGAGATGAATCCCATACAGGCGGCGTTGCGGTCAGTATATATGATAATTTGTATACATTCATATGTTTATTAGAAAAATCTAGTAAACGGAAAATGTGTTCAATGTAAAATAAAACATAAATCTACAGATACGTAGTCGGTCATATCGGACGTCAGACGACCGGAAGTGCCACGCCCCCGACTTACCTCCGATACCGAGAGATCAGCTTCCCGCCGCATACGCCGAACGTCAGGCGGACTCTGATTATGGCTTCCAAAAGGAATTCGAGGTAGATATGGAGAAAACGTTTATTAATCAGAATTTTATGCAACATTACTAAACGGGAATTCCAAATTTATGGTTTTCATATCAAAGAACAAATGTTATCGTCAACTTATATTAATATAATAATGATTGTTCTTGAAGTGCGTGTGGTGTGTTTGGTGAGTTTGGTTATTTTTAACAATGGAGATACTTCTCACTTACGTTCTTTTTTTATTGGGGTTAAAATTGTATTTTTAATATTTTATATTAGATTGTATGGATCGAATGAGCTAGGTCTGGATATCCATAGATCATATCCCTTCACACTTTGAATTCAATTTTCCTTTAGTTTTTAAGGTTTTATTGATTTCATCTCTTCGTGTTTTGTTTGCCTATCTATTGCTTGTCAAATTAAAACTTGGAGTTTTAATAAAATTTTTAATTTAATTAAAACTTGGTGTGTTCAGTCCAATGTCGGGGTACATATCTATCGATTAACCAGCGTCTAACATTCAACCCTATCGCTTATCGCTTTGAGTGTAATCCCTAATCAGAACCAAACCGGGACAAGTTGTTGCAGATGCTGCCCGAGTGTTTCCCGGACAGGACCAGCCACGCCTCCGAAGCTCGAGAGAACCAGCCGAAGAACAGATACCCGGACATCAAGGCTTACGATCAGACCCGGGTGAAACTCGCCCAGATCGACGGAATTAGTGGCAGTGACTACATCAACGCCAACTATGTGATGGGATATAAGGTCAGTTCTTAACCCGGGTAATGTTGAACCGGGTAAACCGGGAATGGGAAAAAATCTCTAAACAAACACTACATTTCTAGAGGTCGATATATTCGGTAGTGGGTTGATTAAGAAAGGAAGCATTGTTAAGTGCCTATCTGGTACCTAATCTGCTATTTTATTTTGAAAATCTAAAATTGTAAGTGTAATGTTTTTTTATAACACTTATGTTTACCATAATTGTCATGTATTTTAGAAAGATAGCTTGTAACGTATACTGTAGATATAGCATTACATACGATGTAATGTAATGAATAAATAGATGTATGTATCCGTATGTCAAAATTACACTTTTGACATATGGAAGTCTGACTTGGCGCTAAGTCTTTCTGAACCTCACCCGGATGTCCGTCATTCTTGGGCTTGAATATGAAGTTTTGTTAAAACAATGTGTAATATTATTTGTTTAGTAAATAGATTTAGAAAATATGTTTTGAAACTTCTACTTAATAAAAACCTTTGCACGGCGCATGAGTTCCCACTAAAAGCACAATATCTAACCTGTGTGTTTGTCTCTTGCTTACTCAGGACCCCTCGGACCACAACCAGGTACTGCACGAATCGCTCGCTACGTTTTTTCTTATCCAACCGTCAGATTTTCAGTATACGCTTTTTTTCTAATTATATTTTCATTTATTGTCAGATTAGTCATAGTTTGTAATGCAGCTTTTATATTCTTCACGTTTGTCCTAATTAAATTTCACTATTAAGATTATGATCGATTATGGACACTTTATTAATATTTTTAAAAAAATAGACCGCTTAGATAAAGTCCAATGTTCGGTACTGTACTGTACAAAATGTTCAAGATATTATGTTACATGTATAATCTAGACAGCATGAAAACAGTCAAATTAGCTTTTGCTTTTAAAACATTATATGGTTTGAGAATAAATTGTATTCATAAGAAGTAAATTAACATTTCTTATTTTGTAAAAATGTTCTAATATTTCGAAAATCGAGTTATGCAAATATTGAAATAAATTACCACAATCTGTTCTAAAGAAAAATCTTATCCCAGGAGCGAAAGAAGTTCATCTGCGCCCAAGGCCCAACGGAGACCACGGTGAACGACTTCTGGCGGATGATATGGGAACACGGCTTGGAACTGATCGTGATGCTGACCAACCTGGAGGAGTACTCCAAGGTGAAGTGCAGCAAGTACTGGCCGGACGAGGTCCGTGGGAGTCGGGCTTTCGGGAATATCACGGTTCATCATGTTTCTGAGAAGAGGTACGTGATTTTTTTTATTGAATAGGGGGGCAGACGAGACGCCCAAAAAGGGCACTTGTCGCAGCCCATGGATACCCATTGTGCGTTGCCGGCCTTTGAGGTAGGAGTATATTCTTTCTTTGAACAATTGGAGGTCGTATCTCCCAGGAAAGACCCCAACCGGGAGTCGATTCCACAGCTCGCTAGTTCGCAAAGGAAAGTGTCTTGTGAAGCTGACTGTGGGAGACTTCCAGCCATCAAGGTGATGCTGATGAAATTTTGAATTTTAGTAAAGGAATCACAATTATTCTGTAATTAAAAAGACCTTCACAATGTAAGAAGAAAATATTTAGTTATACTACGCATATTATATTATAAAATAAATTGGTAAAATGGACAAAAGCATATATTACTGAAGAGGTATATTTTTATCCCTTTTACAAAATATCAATAAAATAATATAATAAAAATCCACATATTGTAGAAAGTAATCTTATAACTTAGTTTATTTTTGTGACTAATCACAGTTTGTAACTCTCTAATTAAACTCACTCGAATTGTTTTAGAATTTTACTGTTAATTGTTGATAATCATCAATATTGCAGATATTCGGACTACATCGTGCGAGAGCTGAGGATATCGAAGCAGGCTTTGAACTCTGAGGGCCAACCGGTGGTTGAGAATAATGGGAACGCGAAACGAAACGGAGGTCAGAATTCCATTTTTATTTATTTAGTGGGTTAAAAGAGCACAAGAACTGATGAATGAGAAGCGGTTAACAAGTAGGTTGGGTCCTTGTCTTACATACCTGGACCAAATAACCGAACGAGCATGGTGAATGTCATGAAAGTGGATGAAGCAAGTGAAGATCTGTGGTCTCTGCCTGCCGGGTTATTTCCGCCGGCAAAGCACTTGCGAGTTCTCTGGCAATATGATTGTCCATATCATTGAGCGTCCTGTCCGTTTGCCCCCTGGTACCCCTAGGAAGGATTATATAAATATATATAAAGAGCAGTGTTGGCCTAGTGGCTTCAGCGTGCGATCCCCGGCCGTGCACCAATGGACTTTCTTTCTAAGTGCGCATTTAACATTCACTCGAACGGTGTAGGAAAACATCGTGAGGAAACCGACATGTCTTAGACCCAAAAAGTTGACGGCGTGTGTCAGGCACTGGAGGCTGATCACCTACTTGTCTATTAGATTTAAAAATGATCATGAAACAGATTCAGAAATCTGAGGCCAAGACCTAAAGAGGTTGTAGGGCTACTGATCTATTTTTTAATATAATTTAGAGGTAGGTGATTATTAATTATAATATACTTAAACATGCCAAAAATGACAGATTGCGGCATGGGCGAGCTGAGCGCCCCGACGTCTCCTCAGACGAAGAGCGAAAGCCGTCTCGTGCGTCAGTACCACTTCCTCATGTGGAAGGACTTCGCCGCGCCCGAGCACCCTCACTCTATACTCAAGTTCATCAAGGTAATAGTTGACACAATCGGTTATGGACACGAAAATGTTTTATTTATTTCATAAAATAATCTACCATTACACATTACAGATGCTACAACTATTCCCATTTATACTACAAACACATTAGGAACTGACATGAAGCAGACCTTTTGTTAGTTTAACGGACAATTAAAAACGTCTTTTAATCTATGCATTCATTAACTATTTTCATAATTGTGTCTTGCGTGCCTTTTCGAGAGATTAGTCTTTGCGGGGACGAATAGTAATGGCGGTCGATATCTTCTTCGAACGTAACCATCGAGGCCCATTGTTTTTCTTTCCACGTCACTTTATCAGATACATCGTAACCGCTAATTCTCGGCGCACTCTGAGTTCGTTGGCCACGAACATATTATCAATAAAGTTGGATACCTGAGCTGGTAAAATGGCTCCTTGTACCTTGTACTTGTTGAGAACAACTGACGCTCGTTTCAGCGCGTGAACGAGGCGTGGTCGGTAGCAGTGTCCCGAGAAGTAGTGGTCCATTGCTCGGCCGGGGTGGGTCGCACTGGGACACTGGTGGCTCTCGACTGCCTCTTGGAGCAACTACGCGATACCAACTGCGTGTCCGTCTTCAACTGTGTGGCTGAGCTGCGGGCGCAGAGGAATTTCCTTGTGCAATCACTGGTCAGTCATACATTCAATACTTTTAAAAAATATTTAATTTTATATTATTAGTACGTTACGTTACGTACACAATTGTACGTAAAAAGCATCTTTGGTAAAAATTTCACAAATTTATATGGAAACAAAATGTTTGGTCTGTGTAGTTAGACAATCACAATTAATGGGGTATACATACAATTGCAGAAACAATACGTGTTCGTATACCGTGCGTTGGTGGAGTACGCTCACTTCGGGGATACGGAGATCCCGGCCTCGCGGCTCAAGAGCGCCATCGACAGACTCCGGAACACGCCCGAGGGTAGCGACAAGAGCCTCATGGAAATGGAGTTTGAGGTAAAATTCACTTTGCTCCAACTCAAACTTGCAAATTTTATATTTTTTTCCGGTACTTGTAGTTGCTTACAAATCAAGTGCGTAGAACGGACGAGAAGAACTGGCGATATGGTTTCCTCCATTCCTGCTTTATTTTTCAAAAAAAAACTATCACATTTTTTTTTTTTTTTTTTCAGAAACTAATCCGTCCGCCGGTGATCGAGAGCGCCAAGTCGTGTGCGGCGGGAGGCGGGGAGGAAGTGAGGTCTCGGAACAGATCCACCGATTGTCTGCCCTACGACCGGAACAGGGTCATCCTGGCACCTTTGCCCGGTCGGGACTACTCCACGTACATCAACGCGTCGTTTATCGAGGGTGAGGAAATTTATTCTTTTGAAAAAACTAGTAAAGTTTAAAAATAAAAAACCCTAGAGTTTTTCTACAAAAACGTTTAAATTAAATCATTTTTAAATTCACGAAGGTTACGACAATTCAGAGGGCTTCATAATCACACAAGACCCACTCCCCAACACCATCATGGACTTCTGGAGGATGGTCTCCGAGCACAATGTTTCCACTATCGTCATGCTCAGCGAGGTGAGTTTCTCTTTCAGCTCTTCTTCTCTTCAAATGTAATTTAACTCTAGAATGTATCGTGCCAATAGTAGTTTAATCATTTAATGCATTTTAGTCTACAAATTTTTTCAATAGAAAAATAATTAATATTTGTTCCCAAGATTATAAAGTTTCTTAAAAATAGGCGTGAGAGTAATAAAATACTCCACTTTGCAGTTGGGTGAAGGCAAGTGTCCGCGGTACTGGGACGACGGAACGGTGCAGTACGAGCACATCTCAGTGGAGTACGAGGAGAGCGAGTCCTGCCCCTATTACACCAGGAGACACTTCACCATTACCAATAACAAGGTGAGGCCGATGGCGTTTTATCAGGATGTAATCAAATTTAAGACTTTAATTTTTACTTTAACTGTTAGGCAAATTACAAGCACTTTTACATGAAAAAAAGAACAAAACCAGGCAGTGAAATTTTAACTTTAAACACTATTACTAGATGGCGCTACGTACTCTTTTTTTAAATAGTAAATATATCTATAACTGTAACTTACACTTTTATGATCATTTCGTTTATTATTATTTAAATCGAATATTTTAAATTACAATTTATTTTTACTCATATCTTAGAGAAGTACAGTTGAGTTTGTGTTTCAAAAAGTAGGTAGTTTTTGGCAATTATAATAATTCAGCCTAGAATAGGAAATAGTGTCATTTTTGTAGGTCTGTCTTTGACAATTGTCAAAAACAGCAAGAAATATAAACTAATAGCCTAAAAATTTATGTATATTTTGGAGGTAGTCAAGCAATTACTAACTATTTGTTGTAAATGTTTGTGCTTCAGAGCGGCGACTGGTGCGCCGTGCGGCAGCTGCAGTACCACGGCTGGCCGACGGCGGCGGGCCACGTGCCCGAGGTCACGCGGGGCCTGTGCGAGCTGGCCGAGCGCACGCAGCCCTCCGACCACGACAACACGCGGCCCGTCTTGGTGCACTGCCAGTGAGTGGCGGTCTCGATGCTTGCTTTTTGAAGTTATAATTCTTTTGGCGCGTTAGGGAAACATGATGAGAGTAAATTTTTACGATGCGCGCGCACACCGTCACAAAAAACCGACACCCGGAAGTTAGCCATAGTCAACATTTTAGTGTTTTCTACTGATAGTGTCGTTTTTCCTACAAACGTATAATATAATTTTTGTAAAGATTTTTATCTTGTTACGCCAAAGAAGTATAACTTCTAACGCGTGTACATAAGTATTAGTATATAGATTCGTTAACACGCACAATGTTCAGATACGGCACGGAGCGGTCGGCCCTGTTCGTGGCGCTGTGCATCCTGACGTGGCAGCTCCGAGTCGAGAGACGCGTGGACGTGAGCGCCGTCGCCCGGAAGCTGCGCTCGCAACGGACCAACACCATCGACACTGTGGTGAGACCGCTTGTGCTATTTAACTACACTTTTCATACCTTTACATATTTATTCATAAAAATACATAAACTATCATTACAGTAATAAACCAATACGATAATGTAAAAAAAACATTCATAAATAATACATGAGATACACAATATCGCTATGTTTTTTATAACTTCACTATTCTATCACTTGTCTTCAAGTCTCTTAACATAACGTCTGTGGTTTTTGAAAGTAAATGTAAATAAATCTTCTAGAGACAAAATTTTAGTGACTAAGATTGCCGACAAGCATTTGTATCCGTTTAAAGAATTTTAAGCTATTGCATAGATTTTATCGCGGGCTTTGAGCTCGGCAACCGAATCAAGAAATTCCGTAACGAAAATAAAAACCTAACACACGATGACGTAATATAGGTGCGACCAATACGCGTTAGAGCGGGACAGAACGCATACTGCGTCTCACATCTCTCAAATAAAACATAAATAAATATAATTGCATCTATTCATATAAAATGTTATGCAATAGCTTTACCACGGCAGTCCCTGAGTGCCACACTTTTTTTTTTTAATATCTCGTCGCCTGCTAATGCGTTCTCCTCGTTCATAATGACACCATTTCTTTTTTCAGCTCCAATACGAATTCCTCCACCGTGCCATACTGAACTACGCCGAGCTCCACAATCTACTCGACGACAGCTAAACAGAAAATGATGAATTCAGGGCGATTTGTGAGACACAAATATAGGTGTAATCTTGTCTAATGACCTTTTGTACTGATTAACGAAATCGATATATTTTTTTATACTTTTGTTACATTTCTCACTGACGATTATCTCCTCGATGTATGTTGTCCTTTTTCCTAATTAGGTTATGATTTCCAAAAAACAAAGATATTTTTTGTATCGTCAGTGAGAAAGGAATTCTTTATTTCGTACCTTGTGCGTTCGGTGGGGCGTTTTAGTCGATAACGGCCCCCTATCGTGTACTTTTAGTACTGTTTTTACACAAATTATGGGTGCTAAGTTCGATTGAGATTTTGGACTTTTCCTATAAAAATCACGAAATCACCTTCAGCGACAATTGGCAGGTAGAGTTGTAAGTTTGTCTCGAAGCGAGGAGATCTGACGGTTTTGTTATACTTTTTGTTTTTAGTTTCCAGATATTAAGGTCTAGTATTAAGTACACGCTTGATGTATCCGCTTTGCGAGCGTTTATTTATATTGGTATTAATCAACGGGCTGGGTAATAAAATGGTTAGTTCACAATGTTCAATACTTTAGAAATGTCGAGCGAAGCGTTTGTATTTTGTGCTTTTGGCAGTTTTGTGATCAAATCTATCCTAAATTCCCATTTTATTACCCTGGTCTTCTACCAATTGCAACTATGTCCAAAGAGAAAAATTGTATTTATTTTTGGTAAAGGAGCGGCCGGACGAAGCATTTTTTGTTTCTTTTCAAGGGTTTATGAAACCTGGCCAAAATCTATGCCCCAACGCGTGCATGCTGAATGTCATTGTAAATATCACATTAAAAAGTATAATGCATGCAATTTTATTATAAAAATCATGTCGGTTTTCTTTGAACTATATCAAATCATAATTAGGTACCAAATTCAATATAAACTTCTCATACATGATCCCCAATTTCAAGTTTTTAAGATATTTCGAGAAATTATTAAAACTCATTTAAGTACAATAAGCTCCTGAACATGAAACAGTTGAATTTGACAACAATTTTTTTAATGTTATTTTTATTTTTTTGAATAATTAAATCTCCACTATTGTTGTATTAATTAATGGTACGAAACGGCAATCGGTCCTTTAGGAGCTTAATAATATTGCGAAAGAGATAACTGTTAGTCTATAATTCGCCGGTTTTGTATTCGGTTGGAAATTGGGGAATATCGCGTCAGTGTGCACGGCTTATGAACCTCGGTGAATTTACCGTTTTAGTTAAAGGAGGGCCACGAGTGACTGTTTATATTTTTAAATAGGCTAAGTTAATTAAGTTTTCGTATGTTATTTTGTGTAACTGTGGTGTTATAAGAATTTGTAACATTCGGACATCGGACGTCGTATATAAGGAAAGTTTTATTGAAATTTTATTCACCTAGCATTTTGAAAATATTTAAAGAGTATTTTAAATATATAGTAGGACAATACCAGCCAGTAGGTAAATTATAATAGATTCTTTTTGATCTGGTTAAAATTATATCGATATAATAATACAGTATAGAGCGAGGCACATAGATAATCCAATAAATTAGTATTATTTATATAAGTTATCTCACGTAAGCACGTAATAGATTTTAAGTCTCGATAACATCACAGTTGCACACTTGTATTAATACAACCAAATGCAGGAGCTACTCGATCAGCTCTCGGAAGTAGCTGCTACGTTTGAGGCGACAATTCGGGAAAGATTTTTATAAAACGCGGTAAAGACAATGCACAAAATTACTCATAATGAAGTTGAATTGGCTGCTAACGGTTATTAAAAAGTGTAGCTAAAATATATGGATTTTTATAATTTAACGTGTCCTATTTAAGTACATAGTCAAATTCTTAATACGTTAAGATAAGTACGTGTTCGCGTATACACGTATACGTTGGCTTTATATTGCCGCATGTTTTATAAATATCTCAATGAGTCCTTAAGGACGTGGCTGGCTTGTATCTGCAGTTTGAGGCTCGGTTTTAATACTCAATCAATATTGGCAGTACATTCACGCTCAAGAGTGGTTTTCGAAAATTATAAAGTAGACGTACAAGAAATTATAACATAACGCCAAAATTAATCGTTGAGATAGTGAATAAAATATAAATTGTAAGCTAAAAAAACATTAATCATCCAATGTTGCTATTTTTTGGTTTGGTCAAAGCACCAAGTCACTGTTCAGAAGCTCGGCATCCAAAATTAAAGTAGCCGTAATCATAGCCGACCTTCGAAAGGAGATGGCGCTATTAAACGATCATTGCTATAAGCCAAACAGACACAGTGTAGTATTGCCATTAATATTTGACGCTAAATGATCTCTTAATTGTGTTCAAGAAAAGCCTGATACAAGCCAGGTGAGCGACTGAAGTGTGTTAGCTTTTAAGAATGCTGTAGGTTTTTGTATGAATATAGAAGATAAGTTAGATTTCGTACGAAGATAGCGTGAATGCGTAAAATGGTATACCTCGACGGCCTAATACGGCATGTGTTTTGTTGCCAGATTCACATACTATGTATTACTTCTAGATAAAAAGATCAAGCCCTAACACACCGTCAAATGTGTGTTGCCATCAGTATATGTTTGACACGACGTTATGTTGGAAAAACAGGACATTAAATTAATTTTCGAAAAGTACAACTTCGCTGAAAGTTGCGAATAATAGATCTTAAAATAACAATTTATATATACTTAAAAAAAGTTTAAAAATGACAGGTACTAAATTATGTCTCATGTACCAAACTAGCCCACCTATAAAATACCTAAATTAGGTTAATTAAATGTATACTATTTTACGTAATTCGCGTCTTAGGAGTTCAAATTTATATCGCATTACTGTGGTATGCTTATACAATCTTTAAAAAATGGTAGCTTTATTCTTTCTATTACAGCTAAAAAATAATTTCTTGCACAATCCTATTTCTATTACTTTTAAAATAATTATTTTGTGAAATTGTGTCCCATATCTGGCAGGATTTCGTTAAGCCGCAATTTCTGTCAAAACTACGAACAACAAATGTTTACTTTTCCTCTATACGTGCTTAAATATTGTATTTCTAGTCTTAACTCTCCGCTTACTATTTCTTTGTTTAATAACACGTCGTCGTTTTATAGTAATAGATGGGTATGCATAACCCAAAAGAAACTGAAGAGGAACTAAAATATCAAATTTAATGTTTATAATCTTTTATAGTTTTAAATTTGTTGAAAATAGTTCAAAAACTTGAGAAGCGCAGCCTATATTTTAAGTTAGGTTAAGATAAAAATCCTTTTGATAATTTTATATCGAAATCGCTTTGTATATATTAAGTAGTTCGCGCAAAGACGAAAATTTGTATTGTAGACATTTTTATTTGTATCAATAATTGTATTCAACGCAGTTCTATTGAAGTAAGTTATGTTTTTTATTTTTGTAAATAGATTAATGCAGGTCATGTAATATGATATTTTTGAAAATATACCAATATTTAGAAATTGTTTTTTTTTTAATTTCTCATATGTTTTAATCTACAGCTAGAATCTAAAGTAGAAAATAATTCGCAAACAAATTGATTTCCCTGTCACAGGTCTCTGACTTACTAGGGAGGCCTTAATCTGAATTCTATTATAGGTAGCTAAACAAATAATGAATTTTAATATTTTTTTGATAAAGAAAGCTTCTAAGATGCTTGCTTTTGTCCTGAGAAACACTAAAGTATACCGAAACAGCAAAACAAAAATTATATTATACCTACAATAGTCTCGTGCGGAGCATGCTAGAATCTTAGAAAATTAATTGATGTATCGTTTGAGATACTTAACAATCAGGTTGATTTCCCCAAACTTTTAACAAAATTCACCGATGTCCAGATTGAGCATTCTGATAAACGAGTTGGGTCTGGATATGCATAGTTGCTCCCCTCACATTTTAAAATCGATTTTAATTTTATAATTTAATTGTTTTGTTTAATTTCTTTTTATTATCTCTTTGTGTATGTTGTTTGCCATTTTCTTGTACCAATGTATCAGTGTGCTGAGCGTCGGCAAGCTTTTAAAAATAAATAAAGAAACAACATAGTAAATTTATTCAGTAGCATGCGTGCTTATTGAGAGTTATTTAATTGCCTAAATCAACGTTCACGAACAACCAAGCTATTTCACGCCTGTATAATGATCAGCCTGAAGCTGACCAGAAGTTTCACTCGTCAGTCTGGGCCCCGCATGAGACGAAGTACCTACTGTCATGTTGGAGCGCATTCAGAATAAATTTACTCGGCTTTTGATTTACTTATTATTTAATGTCCAACTTTGTGTGAGGAATGGTTGTTTACAACAAGTTAAGAATTATTAGTAATGGTACATCGAGATGGCGGAAACAAAGGTTATTTGTAGTCCCTTGGAGCAGAACGAATTTTGGCACCAAACCCTCTTAACGAGTGCGAAACCTCTAGCGTTGCGACTTGCGAGTGCTTAATTTAATGCTGTATCCGAAACGATCGATTTTTATATGTTCTCAGAGCGAATTCGCAAAAGCAACGTCAAATTAATTACCGTTGTTACGGTACGGTAACATAATATCTTATGTTACGGTAAATAAGTTACACAACTATGGCATTGGCACCTAGGGTAGTTGTATAGTTAAAATAAATAAATATTTACCTTGTCTGTAGTTGTGTAGGGCTTGTTATATTTAAATGTATATCCGACTTGTCTTCTCATGACTAACAAAACCTATTAAACAGGATTTAATTTTTTTACAGTTATTATATCTTTGATTGATTTTAAATGTCTGAGAATCATAAATATATGGTAGAAAGACATTGTAAAATTTTGTATTTTTATAACTGAAATTAATATTTCACTAGGTTAGGTACCTTTTGAAAATAATTTAAAGCAATGTGATGAATTATTTTATAAGCATTGATACTTGATAAATGCAAATAAATTAAAAATGTTAATTCAGTAATTAGGATTTAGTGTTAAATAAATTTCTTTTTATAATATTCATGAAAACTCCAGATATGTAATAAATAAAACTCGGTATTACAATATTAGCAAAAAAAGACATTTATTGTGTACTTAACGTAATACAAATAGGAAATTAAGCCGTTCACGTAAATACTGTAATATAAGTGAGTTTAGTAGAAAACACTTTTTATCTTCACTTTTCTCCGTCAGCAGTAGCACTCGCTTGAGATGTCTGATCCTTGATCTCCTTCCTGACTGGACCAGTTTTAGCGATCGGAACTGATCTCTCATTCTTCAGAGCCGGTGCAGTTCTTGGAGCTACCACAGTGAGAACACCGTCAGAGGACAGCCGGGACTCCACAGTATCTGGGTTGCAACCCTCGGGCAGTGCGTACCGCCGAGAGAATTGCCGAGAAATGAAGCCGTGCTCGTCCTTCTTCTCCTCGTGCTTTCCCTCAACCACAATGTAGCCATCAGCGGTCTTAACCGTGATGTCCTCTGGTGAAAAATGCTGAACGTCCAAGTTTACTTGGAATTTCTCCTTATCCGCCTTGATAGTTGAACCGAAGTCTCGTGTTGCGGCCGCCAGCTGACGCCAGGGTCGGTAGTAGTCCCTGGATAGCATGGGTGTCACAGCCGCGGTCAGCAAATCTTCAGGCGTGAGAGCCACACCAAAATCCTGGTCCAGCACTCGGTGAGGACGCTCGCAGCCAAGGATGAACGGTAATAGAGACATTGTTTGTATATTCGCAGTGCGTTTGCTACAAGTTGTCTTCGCTATCGCTTTCCGAAAAATACTTGTCGAGACGCCGGCCGGCACAGCTTTTATACTGTGGACGTAGCGCCATCTAGTAACAGGTAGAACAATCTAGAAATACTTGTTTACGTATGCGCGTCTAGAACACACACAAAGCTTAGGCGACGGGCGATGTTCCTGGACATTCTAGACTATTCCGCATCTGTTGTCATAGTGTGCAACTTCAACGTAAAATTTGTTTGTGTGCGGTTTCCAGACGCCCTCATATAGATTTTATATTTAAGTATACGTACGGTACTTATGTTTGTTTACTTTCTATATTTGTACATAGCAGTTACATAGGCCTTCATGAAGGTCAATCGCTAAATAAATACATGTTTGAAAAAACTACACACCTATTTATTTTCAAAATAAAAATAAAATCAAAAGATATCTATATTTTTCAATGTTTATTAAGTAATAGATATAAAATTATTATTACAAAAATGCGATTCACTTCTAAGGTAAGTTTTACCTGTTCGATAAAAATCAATTTAAAATTGCAAACCTATATATATAATTTCCTTACTTAGTAACCTTAAAAATTAACTAGCCTATACCTACTAATTAAATCATATAGCAAGTGGAACAATTAGTTCTATAATAGTTTGTTATAATTTTGTAGATACATTCGGATTTATAGGTACATAAAGTTCTCTATAGATCTATCTATGTAGAACATACATAAAGTACCTATAAAGAAAATAATATTATCTGCATGTCCGGACGCACGATGTGTCATAATAAAGTGAATCAGTGGTTCCAAAAGTCTTAACTAAGGCATGAGCATATTGGCTTTTTTAAAAGCCGAATGATCTCCAAAAGAAATCATTGTTTACATCGAATACAAAGCTAGACTATTAAGACACGTATATAGACTAAACGGAATACTTTAGGGTGGACAGTAAAGTAAAAGTTGCCTTTAAAAATTCCATAAAATTCGTTATCATTTTATTACAATAAAATCTATATAATTATAATATTATAAATATATGTGTTTATTGTAATTGTTATTTCTCTTATGCTAAGTAATGTTGAGAACCACTAATATTCAGTCTAGACTCTAGATAACCCTGGAACATGTATTGATCGTCCTCGAACTTGTTAAACCTACCACAATATTATATACAGTGGTATAGACCAGTTTTTAAGAAAGCTACTCTCCGGTAGATGGCAGGAAAAGACAAAGTATAGCCATAGTTTAGACTTTAGAATGTTACATTTCCTTAAGTACAATAATTAATTATAAATAAAATTATAACAATATTCATTACATTTATATATTAATTAATTTAACCCAATAACAACTACTTATCGCATTGTGGAGATAAAACATGTTGATAAAATGTAAAGGACACGTCAGAATTCGAGAATTATCTATTCGACGGTAGATGGCAGTCAGGCTATATAAGCAAGAAGCGCGCGATTAGTGCATGTATTTTGAATTTGAACAATCGAAGTGCACGATACATAACATCTGTAATACGCAATTTTTCAAGTAAATTTATTAAACTATACAAAATGAAGTCGATAACATTGCTTTTTATTACTATACTCTTCACAACAGTTCTAAGTGAAGAAAATTGCGAGGAAAAGAAGAAACATCATTTGCATGACCAAGAATTTGGTATGGCACTTACACCTGATGCTTTAATAACAAGCATGATGACGCCCTGGATGCTCAGAGATTACTTTCGCCCGTGGAGATACCTTGATGAAATTACTCGGGACTTTGGATCAACTATTGTTAGCGACAAGCAGAAATTTCAAATTAATTTGGATGTACAACATTTTGCTCCAGATGAAATAAACGTCAAAACTGGTGATGGCTATGTAATGATTGAAGCAAAACATGATGAAAAAAGAGATGAACATGGATCAATTTCACGCCAATTCGTAAGGAAATACTCTTTACCGGATGGGGTAGAGTCGGAAGATGTGGTATCTCAACTTTCAAGTGATGGTATCTTAACGATTACGGCGCCTAGAAAAGAAGTGGATTCAAAAGGTGAAAGAATCGTGCCCATTACACAGACTGGGCCTATCAAGAAGGATAACAAAGAGACAAAAGCTGCTTCCGAAGGAACCTGTCAAGCGCAGGATGGAAAGTGTGGTTCATAAATTTTTAAAATATTTTCTTATCAGACTGAATTATGTAATAAACTAATATAATATTTTTTAAAGGCTTTCATTTCATTTCACGATGCGATGCCTTATTTTAATAGAAAGTGTAAATAGGTGATATGGTGATTTTTGTCTCGTGGACACTGCACGCGTCAGAATATAAAGCTTGATATTTTATATATTATGTACGTTGATGTTACATCAACTACATTTTCTTTAAGTAGTGAATATTCATCACCATATTCTAGTAATAAATTCATAAAAATAATTTATTTGACAAAAATATCTGTGACTGACGATATTTAATATCCTATATTTTAAGCTATTCTAAAGTAAATACGTATTACGTACTCTGTGGTTTTAGGTTTATACTGCCTTGAGCGTTGAGGCGTAAAATGTTAATATTATTTTTAAGACTTCAAATAAAGCTAAAACATAATTGTGTATTATCATTTACGGAATAACGCCGTAATAAAAATGGTTAACTATTGTTGTGTGGTTGGATGCGGACGTAATAGCAAAAGTAACAGACATTTAAATTTCTACAGTTTACCAAAACAAAAACACCGGTAGGTATATCAAACGTTTTATTTCTAGCTTAAACATTAATATAAAGTGCATAAAATCTACTTTAAGCTGCTAAACATTTTTTTCAAAAATATTTCCTTTGTGTCTAATTATGTGACCTTTCACCTAATTCTTTATATTTAGCGAAGTTCAAAATCAAAATACTTAAAACTTAAATAATATGTATAATCTTATAAAGCTAAGGCAGTACAACTATAGTAAATATTCCATAAATTGTATATTTTTAGTCAGAAACAATGGTTGAAAGCAGCTGGTAAAGAAGATCTTCTAAATCAAGATATGGAAAAATTGAGAAGAAATTTAAGATTCTGTTCAAGGCATTTTCCCCCTTCTTCTATAAAGAATAAACATCTAAATATTGATGCAGTTCCATCAGTAAGACTACCTGGATCAGTACCAGGTAATTGGTCATTTATACCTCAGTTATAATATATTTAAAATAGATCTTGATTGTCTAAATTCAATACCATTAAATTGATATTTTACTTAATTTTTATTTTCTTTTCTAGAACAAGATATACTCCCTACTGTACACGAAGGTATAATGTGCAATGTATGTTCAGAACAAATTATTGGTTTCCGATATAAATGTGTTATGTGCAACAACTATGATCTTTGTCAAAAGTGTGAGATGCTTGAGCTACATGAGGACCACTATATGTTGAGAATACCAAAGTCTATTAAGTTTGTAAGTATGAAGTCATAAAAGTAATTTTGTCAAAAATCCAATTACAACAATTTGAATCATTACCATTAAAAATTAATTAGTTGCATCCTTTATATCACAATGTTTAAGTAAAACAGGTTTAATTCAAGTATTTACATTGTACACTGACAAACCTGTACTTGTTATCTTAAATTTCATATACATTTTATCTTTCGCTGCTTAATAATGGTACTGAAACATTAATCCTTTGTGACCTCACTTGTTTTCAGAAAATAGCAGACACTTTTATAAATAAATGGAGAGAACTAATTGAATCTGAAAATAAGACTAGTGCTTTAAAAGTTGAAGATTCTAGTGATGATGAACCAATTACTAAATATAGAAAAACATCAGGTATAGTCAACCTTCCAGAAATTGTTAAATGTGAAATAAGAAATGAAATACAAAGAGCAATCAAGTCATTAAGGAATACGGAGAAAGAGGCTCGGATAACTGAAAGTTCAGTTGACGTAATTAATGTAACAAACAACATAAGTTTAAAACCAGCGGTGGAATCTGAATATGCAAACAACGTAATTGAAAATGGATCAGAAATACCAACACAAATTGTGTTTGCAGATGTAAATAATATGAAATGTGAAGATGATAAAAGTGAAGCTATGGCCGCCTTATCAGTTGTTAATACAAGCACAGAGTCAGGTATGTTGGACATTTAATAGTGATGTCTTTTGAGTCATTCTACTCAATATTAAAATCATATTAATTATATTGGGCTGTAATACCTGATTAGGCCATCTGCCAGAGTGAAAAACATATATGGTGTAATCTTCATATAGTAATCTTTGATAAAATATTTATTTACTACTTTATGTATGTTATTAGATTTGATATAAAAAAAATAACCATTTTATATTTGCAGGACAAATTCAGCCAGTTATATATTTGAAGCTAAATGATGTTCTCACTCAACTTATGATTACACCAAGTGATCAGACTGCACAGATTAATGACAGCAATATATTTTAAGGAAATTAACATTATAAATTACATGTTATATCTATTCTCTTGTTAATTTATTTAAGTTAATTAAGAAGAAACAATAATAACAGGACCATTAAACAATAATTTAATGGTCCTTTTCCATGTGCAGCCTATAGTTTTATTGGATTATGAATAATTTTCCTTAATAAAACTGGATTACAATTACTTTATAGGCTCTAACATTATCTCATTGCTGCATTTAAGGAGCTCGCATGTGTATTGAATAAGGAATGTCACACACATATACAGAAATACATGGAATGAATGCTATTGATAATTATTGATTTTATGAACAAAAATCAAAGTTTAAATACTTTAATAGGTATATTTAAATATAATATTTTATACTTTTATATACCTAATATTTTACACAGACTAGAAATAAGTTGATAAAAGTTTCAAAAAATATTGTAGTATAAGTTGTTTTTTATTAAAAATGTAAAAATATGAAATATAGACTGAATGTTATTAGATTAGTTATAATTTTTATTTGTATTTATTACCTTATAATTTTTTTTTTAAAACTGACCTGAATAATAAAAGATCAGACAATATGCAAATCACATACATCACTATTTGACTATCAGTCGGTTAAAAAAGATACCTAAAATACAAATTATTGTAACTAATAATATCCCAAATATTTCGAACTTCAAGACGAGGGCAATTAATAATCAGTTGCTAGACTAATTTTAAAACACTATTTTTTTTAAGTTTATTGTTACTGAATACAGTCAATATAAATACATTTTTGAAGTTATACTTCTTTAGGCGCGTTATGAAAAATTGATGAGAGTGAAATTTTACTATTGCGCGCGCACCGTGACAAAATTAACAGAATGAAGTTGCCCACTAACGTATTCTTTTAAACCAGCCGGGCGCCCAGCGTGCGCGAGCGAGATGGGAATAAGACAATCTACAAGTAAAAAGAAATAGAATATGCGTGAAGTTAGCAGCTATGCCAAGAATGACCATAATGACCTTTTAAACAAATAAAGGAGTTAAAAGACCTATTGTTACTTAGTTAAAAGGTTATGAAACATACCTAGTTATTAAATTGAAGGAATAATATAATAAAATAATAAATAATTATTATTATTCCAAAGTCCACGGTATATTTTTAAAAAGTTTATTGCTAAGAGGATTCACAACATGATCCAAGAGTCAAGACTATATCTTTATTCACTTTGGCTGAAGTTTTCACTCCTTTTTCACAAAAATGTAGTTTTCTGACTCCTTGACACGCCCCACCAAAACATCTCTGAGTTCTGACGCAGGATGAGGATTGGTATACCACTGTACCTATATACTATATAAGTACAGTGGTATACATACTTAGTAGTTAGTACTTCCAGTGAACGTAATTATAATAACTTACAATGAAACTTTCTTGGTCTTTAATTAAGTCTGTGTATATATTTATAGCACAGCATGAATGTTGTGCAGCGCATTTTGCTGTGTTTTTCATGGAGATTATGTGCGTTTTCCAATTACAGAGCATTATGAGACTCAGTGCCGCACAATGCCGCATAATGCTGAAGCTTAATTGGAACGTGAATTAGTTTTCAAATGCATCAGCAGAGTGCGCTAAGTCAGTGTTGTAAAAAAAATGTTATGAATTGAGTTAGCAACCTCTTATAAATAATGTGGTAAACAATAATAATTGGTTGAAAACTTTTTACGCTTATTTTAATCATCAAATTATTTCATTAACATTTTTTTTATTGAAATAATAGAAAACCTTTAAAGAATATAAGGTTTTAACAAGCTAAATTAACAGTAAAATATTTAGTTTCATGTAAGAAGTTTACATCATTTATGTTTTGAGTAATATTTTTTAATGATTTCTAAAAAAATTATATACTTTTTCAAAACCATTGCAATTTTTTCTAAAGTATAATCCTGTAAAATAAATTTGTTTACAGATCCGAATTTTAAAATAAAATTGTATTCATATTTTAAATGTGGAATATAAAAAAAGTAACTATTTATACCTTCATCCATACTAATATTTTTTTTTTTTAGCAGTTTGAAATAACTTTAATTATTTCCAAAATCTACGACGAAACGAAAGCCTTACAAATTTTTCAACAATAAATAATATTTACTAACGAAAATTTCGATAAATGCCAACTTAAAGAAAAATACTGGTCAATTTTCTGTCACTGTGTTGGTATTGTTTGCGAGAGCATTCGTTTTGAGAGTGCTCAATTGTGCGAAGCGTTGCTGTAGTTGGAACACTCAACGTTGAGCATTATGCCGCAAAATGCGCTCTAGTGCTGTAATTGGAAAACGCACTGTCTTATGTCTATGATGATTGATGTATCATTTTAACTCTGTGGTGATCGTCGTCATTGAATCGCATTTTTGTTAACAACAAATTTCAAAACATTGAATTTAGAGATAAAAATTGTTTTAGCCGCTGCATTGAGTTTTAACTTATTGTTTACAATATAATACTATATTAAAAATTTATCATTATCAGTCATGGAATATGATACAGGTCAACCGTCACCTCCAGGCGTGAGAAGTACTGCGGTAAAAAGATCATTTTGTTTCATCTAAAATCTGGAAATGTTATTTTTAAATAAAATGTACTGTATTTGCTAACTTGGATAGTATTTTGTTGTTTTGTAGAAATACATTAAGTTTCGTTTTGATTTTAATTATATTAAAAGAGCTTGTCTCTAGCTAGCCTATTGCATTCGGAATTCGGAATTGTTGCTTAACATGTTATTTTACCTTTCTAGTTTCAATGTAAAAGCGATGAATCCAAAATTAACACTCCTCCAAGAACTTCTTTCTCCAATATGCTTCCAACTCCTAAAGGTGTGGAAAATGCGAAGAAACGACTGCGAGCATTTTCTATTCAAAAAAAGACTCCTATTACTCCAATTATAGCACCTAGGCCTGCTGGGTCCGGCAGTGAGTATCAATTAATCATTTTTGTATCGATATATAAATAATGTATTTATTGTGCAGTATCAATAATGTATATATACATGATATATTCTTGACAATATATGAAATAAATTAGTTTTCTGTTCCTTTAAATTTAATTGGTGTTAACAAAGAAGAATACATTTTACATTCCGAGCTAAATATGTAAAAATTGTGATTAATCCATTCTCATTAATTGTGATAATAATACATAACTTCAATTCATTAAAAAAGTGTTTTCTTTAATCCATTCTCTTCCAGTTGATTGTTAGAAGTTAAACTTAATTGTTACTGTAAAATGATGTGCCGAAGTGCCTTGAAGATTATTCACCGTCTTCTTTTTAATTGCATATAAAATTAATTTGTTGCACTTGCAGATACAATGGTGTTAATTGGGAAGCTGAGTGGAGTAAAGCCAACTCTAAAACGCGAAGAAGACCCTGACCCTAAAGTTCCCAAACTTCCTAAACCACCAAAACCTGGTTCAGAAAGAAAGGCTTGGCAAGGTAATGCAATTACAGTGTATGGCAGAATTGTTGATTAACTTTGTACTTGTTTCCAGCTATTAATAAAGGTGAAATGAAACATTTTTATTATACTTCCTTTGTGGCATCTGCTTGTATAGTTCATACAACCCAGAATGATTGTTTGTGAGGAAACAAATTAGAAAAAATTCAATAATTAACATCTTTATACCAATTTACAGATACCTATTCAGAGTTGCAACGACGGACACAAGCGGATATTGAAGATATGAAGAGAAAGATGGAGTTAGTTGATCTTGGGATCCCATTGGGCCTGATATGTCCATCATCTACTAGTGATACTGCAATGCCCACAAAGGCTATGCCACCCATTAAGTCTTTTATAGGTAAGTTTAATAAAAGCTTAAAGCTAATTTTTAAAGGAATTTAATGTTGGGACGAAGTGGGATAAACTCTGCAAACATCATGCTCTATGTTTCCTAAAATTTTTCTTTAGCATTGCTTTTCCAAATTTTCTATTAATCAGCATATAAACCTGTGCTTCAAGAGAGGTTGGTTTTGTATGTAGTATGCAGTTTTAGCTTATTTCAAAATCTTGTTTACAAATCCTTTAGTATGTTCATTAAGATGTCAGCTGCATGAAGAAAGTAAAAGTAATTTGCACCCTAGTAGGAGACCAATTTTCACTACAACATTAGACTTGTCATTATTGGTACTTTTTAATAAAGAATATATTACTATAACCAATGCTACAAGCACCTAAAAGACATCAAGTGATTATTGTCTGTGATGTTGTTGTGTCAGATGTAAGAGTTTATTATTAAGTTAGGAAAATTTATTAAAAGCTGGAATAATTACTATAGTTAAATGACTTTATGACATACATAGGCCGGTACTGCATCTATTCTGGACTGACGCATGTTTCTCCATGTGCTAGAAAAAAGTCTATACTTTGTGAGTTTGCAATAACTATGTAATATCAAGGTAGATTTTAGAGAGTAATTAAAGTATATTTTAATGTTAACTTAGGTATATGCTCTTAGTGTAGGTGTTAGTAAATGGTAGTACAATATTAATAGCAGGTTGACATACATTATGTGTATTAGTTTAAAACTGTAATAATAATTATAGTAAATAGTAGTAAATTATAGTAGTAGTAGTATATTAGTAGTCATATATTGTTACTTGTAACTTTTTAGATCCAACCAAAGTAGATGAATTAATTCGTGAAGCTAAAAAAGCGAAACTGGAGGGAAAGCCTTTCAAATTTGACTACAGAAAGTTACTGCCTGACTATGATAATCCATTTCAAAGAAAAAAAGACGAAAAAGAAGAGAAGGATAAGAAACACAATCGGCGGAAAGGTGACTTTAAAGATAGAAAGGACAAATACGGTTCAAGGCGCTATTCGGATTACAGAAAAGATAGCAAAATTAAAGAACGCACCAAAGATAGAAAACAAAAAGTGTTAGAAGTAGTTTCAAAAAAAGTTGAACTTAATGCTAAAGAAGATGTTCACTTTGGTGATTTTGTAGTTTGTGATAGTTGGTCACTCGATAATGAAGATACCAATATATCTAGCCCAAAAACAGATAAATCTGATTCTCAGAGTTCAGCACCAGAAAGAAAGAATTATAAAGAACCGTCAGAGTTGCTAAGAGCCAGCGCTGCCAAAAAGAATGAAATTATTAAAAGGGTTACAACCGACAATAGAATAAAAATTCATCCGATAATAGACACGTTTAAATATGAAACTGACGATAATAATGAAGATGTATTGAATATTTTTGATGCAGAGACAAATATTGATAAATTTGCAACAGTACAATCCACAAAGCTGTCGTTGTATGATTCGCCCAACAAAAAATCCATAGATTTAGACGATACTTCAAGAGATTTATCATTGGATGATACGTTTTTAGAATCGGTGATAAATGAAATCAAGGTTGAGGAGCTTAATGAAGACGAAAGTCAAGATAAGGGGCTGGTTGAATACGAATCACCAAATACTTCCGTCAGTGAGTCTGTTACACCTGAAATAGTACAGAAAGAAAAGAAAAACGAGTACTCCGACGGCTATAGGTCAAGTGAAAGTGGCTATAAAACAAGTGACACGGTCGAAAGCTTCAAGTCTGGGGTAGAATTTCGTCTATCAATTGAAAAGGAGCTGGACGATGCGTTGAATGCAGATAAAATGTCGAAGGTCAATTTGGATTCTCTGGAATCATGGACGTTTGTTTTGAAAATATGTCAGCCGTTGTTATTTCGGCATGACAAGAACAAGTGCTACAAGTGAGTATCGAGGTCCTCCTCAATAATTTATAATCGTTTCTTTAAAGGTAATTCAACAAAATGGCACGTTTCAGAGAGACACTATCAACACCAAAGCTATGGTACTCTACAAATCCAAAATTATGTTCCTGTGTGAAAGAAAGGGATGTTGTTTATGAAGAACTGGAGATCAACAAGATGAACTTAGTTGACCGGGTTTACGGATGTGATCAGTGAGTCTTACCCTTATTAATACTTCCTTACTGTGGCCTAGCTGCAGCTGTCTCTTGGAATAGACAATTTTCATTTAAAGATACTTCGCTTAGGACACTGAATGCGTTATATTATTGTTACCATGACAACCTTTATGGTTTAGTTTAACAAAATATCGTTAGAAATTTCACGGAAAGCGTATCATGATACCGTACAAAATTTCTACATAATATCTCGGTACTGCAAATCTGCTGACTTATCTGGTATTAATTTTGTTTAAATTTATAAAGTTCTAAATCAAATATTATTAGTGTTATCACATTATTAATATATACTAAGACAATCTGAATAATTGTTTAATAGATTTTTAAAAATGAGTTCATAATTTTTATTCAAATTTGTTTCTTAAAAAGGTCAAATTGAAACTATAAAAATCCTGGCTGCTTCACATGCGATACTGGGTTTTGAATAAATGTAGTATAATCTACAATAATTCATAACAATTAATTTTTCGACAACTATGTCACTAGATCAAAAGATGTCAGAAAAATATATTGAGCAGATTTTTACACATTATACTTAAGTTTCTCTTTGTATTTTGCAATTATAATGATTTCTTGTGAAATTGTGTGATATTTTATGTAATGGGAAAAATAATATGATTACGCCTAGAGTTTCCACGAATCTAACGACAGTCATTAATATTTAATAGAAAGTCAAATCAGTGTCATTTATTTTAATTGTTTTAATGCTGAAAATGGGTGTTATTTATGCATATTTTTAAGATTGTTTTTCCAGAATTTTGTATAAATTGTTTTATTGGAACGTAAATTTAAGTTCTAGTTTTTGTTTGAATATTTGGAACAGACTGATTCTGTCAGAGTTGTGGCACTGTTTCGTTGATTACCCGACGCGGCAAGGTAGGACATTTCTTTTTTGTGGCCAGATTAACCATTTTATGCATTCGATCTACTTTTCAAGTTAAATAGGGATAAAGAAGATACTTAAACTTTTCAGAATATCGGAAGTGACAACAACCAACTGTCGCAACTGGTATCCATCGAGTAATAATTGTCTTGTCGAGAGTAAACTGCAACTCTCGAGTGAATGGGAGGCAGATGACAGTCAACAGTCACTCGGAAACGAGAGGAGGTCTCTCACTCCTAAGACAGAAGAGTTGGACCTGGATAGGGAGTACCATAGGTATGCGATTAGAAGACACGCTTCAGGCTTTATGCTTCTTAAGGGTTAGCTTTCTTAGTTTCGCGTCATGTACATATGTTTTTAATGAAGGCTTGTGCTTGCTCCTAGGTTTATGGAAGCTGTGTGGCCAGATGTGATAGAGACCAAAAAGGAAACGTCGGGAAGTACCACACCCGTGCAAGTAAATAGAAAGAAGAGAAAGGAAGATAACGATACGAGGGAAGAAGAAAAGAGAACGAAGAAGATGAAGTTGAGCAGTGAAGGTTGGAGTCAAGAGTCTGAAGTGGAAGAGGATGATAGGAGGTTCGTATCTCTTCTTCTTTAAATCCTGACTTTACATATTTAAAGATATCAAAATACTGAGGTTTCTAAACAGACGAAATATTTCTCCCTTCATATTTTTTGATTCGATTCCTGCTATAAATGTGTAGTAAAATTTAACCAATTTACTCAGACCATCAGACCATCAGACTTTACACAATAGTATATTTCATTACAAGTGCGGAAAGCGTGTCATTGCAAAGAGTTTCGACAAATTTTTCAAAAAGAGGTTGACAGTCGGAACAAGTTGCAATGACGGTTCCGCCCGTGTACTGAACAACTATTTTTAATACAGTTGCGAAAAAATTATGCAATTTAATAAAATAATAAAAAAACAATAAACTCAACTCACTAATCATTTATTTCTTATACAAATTATTGTTCACATATACATTGGTACAGTTTTTTATACTAACTGGAGAAGTTTTAGGTTGCATATTTATTTACTGTTTGAGACAAACTATTATTAATTTCGTATGATTGTTCATGTATATTTAATATATAATATAACAAACAACTAAACGCGCAAAGAACATTTTTGGAAAATGGCGCCAACCTTAATAGAATTAAGCAGATATTTTTTTTTCTTCACCCATTCTGGGTAGGCAAAGGGAACTATGCCCATACAGCCAAGTCTTCAGTACAATTTTTTATTGATATGAAATGAAATTTAAGGAGATGAAATGAAATCTAACCTAACTCATTGAATCAAATCATTAAATCTTATATTGAAACAAAGCAGTAGCTGTTGAATCAATGACCTGTTGAATATCGACAACATCCATTGCTATGCAGACGACAGCACTATCGACACATTATATTCCGGCCATCCGAACATGTCTCGATCTGAAGTCGATGAGAGCCGTAACATACTTGTTCTCGAAATTGAGTCGATTCTGGAGAAGGTTTCTGTGTGGGGTAGTAACAACCTTGTTAAGTTTAATCCTACAAAGACTCAGGTTTGTTCGTTTTCTGCCAAGAAAGATCCTTTTGTCGTGTCTCCTCAATTTGAAGGCGCTCTCCTTAGTTCGTCACACAGCCTCAGTATCCTTGGGGTTGGCATTTCGAAAGAAGTCCAATTTCGCAGTCATCTGGAAGAAAAAGCCAAACTGGCTTCCAAAAAGCTGGGTGTTTTGGGTAGGGCTAAGCAGTATTTCACTGAGGTGCAACGTATGCAGCTCTACAAAGCTCAAGTACGACCTCATATGGAATACTGCTCGCATCTCTGGGCCGGTGCTCCCAAATACCAGCTTCTTCCTTTTGACCAAATTCAGCGAAGGGCTTGTCGAATTGTCAATCTCCAATGTCTTACTGATCGGCTTCATTCTCTCTCGCTACGCAGAGACATTGCGTCTCTTTGCGTTTTTTACAAAGCTTATTACGGAGAGTGTTCGGAAGAATTGTTTGGGTTGATCCCTCCTGCCTCTTTTCAACACCGTACGAGCCGAACGACCTCTAAATTTCACCAGCATCATCTTGATGGTTGGAGGTCTTCCACGGTCCGCTTCATTTTCTTTTGCGAACTAGCGAACTGTGGAATCGGCTCCCGGGGGGGTCTTCCCTCAGAGATACGACCTCCAAATGTTCAAAAAGCGAGCCTACTCCTCCCTCAAAGGCCGGCAACGCACCCACTAAAAATGGGTGTCTATGGGCTGCGTAGACTGCCCTTTTTGGTCGTCCCGCAAGCTCGTTTGCTCGCCTATTATATAAAAAAAAAAAAAAAAAGCTTCTTTTTAGAAATATTTGCATGAATCATAAAAATTTCTATGAATTTTTTTTAGTAAAAACTTCGTGGTTGGTTTTTTCTTTTTAATAGACATTATTTTGACAGTTGGGAAAGAAAACGCACTAGTTCGGAAAAGGTAAAAAAAAAGCACGAGTGTGTAATAGCCCACATCCCGAACGCTATACGTCCCTGCAATACGCCACTTTTTGAGCAACTGTATTAAAAATACCTTTTTTGGCTGAAGATTTCATTTACTTCTTTAAGAAAAATCAGCAATCTTTTCTGAAGATGAAGTAGGTTTTAATTTAACATCAGTTTTGCGAAAAATCAGAACTATTTATAGTTTATTTTCGTCCAAACCTCATGAAAATAAGTTGCTTTGCAGATAGTAAAATACGAATATAATTGATTGACGATATTGACTTTCTTAATAAAATTGTGTAGGATTTTACTCGAGTATGTGTTTAATTGTTAGCAAGAAGAAAAATGAGAAAGCGAAGAGCAGAAAGAGAAAACACTCCACGTCAATATCGTCTTCGTCGGACAGCGAAGAAGATTCGAGAAAGAAAAAGAAAGCACTTAAAAAGAAGGTAGGATTATATAAACTTGAATGATGAATGATGATGATGGAGTTTCATTTGTATAAGTGATATGTTTATTTAATTGAATAAATTGCAATTATATTATATACTAGGTGACCCGGCAAACGTTGTTTTGCCATGTATATTATTTCTAGGAAACATTTTTTTAGTTCAATAAAAATAACTATCTACTATAATATAAAATAGGGGTTGATCGTAGAGGGGTGAAAATTAAGGGTTGTATTGTATGCTGTATCATAATAAAAAATACAAAAAATTGCCTTAAAAATAAAATTTAGGGGTGGACCCTTAACATTTTGGGGGATGAAAAATAGATGTTGTCCGTTTCGCAGACCTAACCGATATGCACACAAAATTTCTCAAAAATCTGTCGAGCCATTTCGGAAGAGTTTAATTACAAACACGGTGACACGAAAATTTTATACATTACATTTTATTACCGAAATACGAAGTCCTCTCATTAATAAAAAAGTTATTTCTCGAAAACAAATACATATAATGATTGTGTATCAAATGATTGTATATCAAATGATTGTATATAATATTTCAGGCAATGAAAAAGGCGAAATCCAAATCGGCTAAGCGTCGGCGCATAGGTAGAAAACTTTTGAAAAAATTAAAAGAAAAACAGAAGAAAAGTAAAAAGAAGATTGAAGACGACTCTGACAGTGGTGAATTTTAAATAGTGTATATACATTTCCGTTTTTCTATTGTATAATTAATTCCATTCCATTTTCAGAAAAATCCAAGAAATCCAAGAAAAGAAAATCGGAAAAGGATAAAAAGAAAGACAAAAAGAGGAAAAAGACAAAAAAAGTGAGCAGCAGTAGCAGCAGTAGTTCCTCTTCAGATAGTGAAAGCGAACGTAAGACGAGCAAGAAGAACAGAGAAAAGAACCGAAAAAGAGGGAAGACTTCATCGGAAGCGCAAAACGAAATCGTTCATCAGGTTGACGCGAACATATTAAATAACATTAAAACTGAAAAAACAACAGACGACGAGGAATCAAAATTGATGGAATTTTCACCGAGACGACAGAAACCACGAGAAATCATCAACGTCAAAGAGTTACAGAACGATTTCGTTGGAAATACACATGTCAAAGAGGAAATCGAAGAAAAGATTGAGAAAGTAAGAGATGAAAAAGAGAAAGAGGCGGAAGAAGTAGAAGAGTTTAAAAGCCCAATCGTCGAGAGTAAGAAAAGTGAATGCTGTTTAAAGGTCAGTTTTATATAGTTCGAGACTTAAAAAAAAGTACCAAAAGATCATTAAAATAATATTTTTGTGCCCCTTTTCCACGCTGCGTAGGATGACTCGGATGATGCAGACACAGAGACCAGCACGGTAGACGAAGTTGGAGAGAATCAGGTTAACATTAACTGCTTTGGTTAATGCTTAGGGGCCGAGGGCTCGCATTGATACGCTTATTTCCAGCTGTTTTTGGAAGATTTTCAAATGAAAGGAAACTTCATTCTATATACCTCAGACATTTCTATGTCTCTGAACAAAACACCTAAAATAAGTTTGACCCTAAACCTAAATATTAATTTAGGGCAATAAGATATATGTATATGTGCTACTTAAAGGGCAATATCATGTTTCTCATATTTAAAAGATCCTGCATGGGTACACCATTTTACGACATAGAGCAAATAAGTCTTGATTTTCTGGTGATTTTTGACTTAAACGAAGTTTTATAACTGCGTTGATGTCATGACCCTTTCCACATTTCAGGAATCACCATCAGAGAAGGAGCTAAAGCCAATTGAACCGGTGAAACCAGACGAGAACTCGCAATGCTCCTCCCAGGAATCAGTTTACAGTGCGAAGGTTCACATGAAAATGTTTTTAAAGATGTTTATTGCTCTCCGTCACATAAAAAGTAAGAACTACCCGAAACCGCTTTTCAGAACGAGGACTCCAAATCGACGGACGTCCAGGACTACGAGAAGGATGAGAGCCACCTGCGTCCGTCCTCTCAGAACTCCAACTACACTTTCAAGGACGTGATAGACGCCAGAGGCTACAAGGAGGAGAAGTTCGAGAGCTACGAACCGGCCGAGTACGACGTCTACGAGCAGATGGCGATGGCCTACCAGAGCGACGTGGCCGGTCAGGTCAGGGGTTCACCGAGTCACCGAATGATACAGATTCACTCCGATCAGACGTTTCAGTGTGATGATGTCCTTTCCAGGCCAGATCCCCGATCGACACGAGCGTGTCCCGCATAGAGACCGTGGTGCGCGTGCGCAGCTGCGGAGAGATCACTTGCGATTGGAGACCCGGACGCGACCCCGCCGACCCCTTGCCCCACAGGCCTTCGCGGTGGGGTGAGTTGCCAGAGATGAACTTAGTTTACATTTATTTTAAACAAAACAAATAAAGAGTGATAATAATATATGTATCTCTGTTTCACCGAGATCATAATATCTCCGCGACAAGAATTAGACATTCGTCTTACTGCGACTACGGGATATATATATATATATATATAATTTCAAGGGGCAAGCCATATGTAATTGTAAATATTATTTTACTGTTACAAAAAAATCTTGTCGTTAACAGGTTTGAAGCCCGGCGAAGTAAACATAGTGCTGACGGGCGGCGACCCTCAGCCCGTGTACAGGATCCAGAGCCTTGCCAACAGAAATGACAACAATACGCCCATAAGGTAAGTCCAGCTCGAGAGGAGAGGAAGCGAGGACATTTAATAAAGATTATACAAATAATTTGATATTTATGGAATTAAACGTGACGATCTATTCAGGGTTTCATCGAATCGAGTGTCACCAATCTTCTCGGAAAAAGTCATATTATGATGATTTAAAATAACTTGATTCCGACGAAAGAATCTGTCAAAGAATAAACGTATAATATAAATGTTCTGGTACCCGTATACCTCCATTATGAAGCTATTTTTTGTCCTATTCATTATTATTCATTTTTTTAGCTTTGTTTTATTTCCATATCCGTAATTTCCATTTCAAATGTTGTTTGCATTTACTTGGATACTGGATATGAACCCCTATTGGGTGAAGGAGGCCTCCAACCCTTCCTGATCTCTATCATTGCCAATAGTCTGCCAATCCTTTCCTCCTATTTATTATAATGATTTCTTCTCAGCTACGACGAAGCCTACATGGACACGTACGGTGCATCCGATCGGCTGCAGTACGGAGACTGTTTTGCCACAGAAATCAAACCTGCCAAAGGAGAGCCCGTCCAGCCCCAGGAGGACAAACGGAGCACCCTCGACGACAGGATCAGCCAGGCTCTCAGAGAGACAGGTCGATTTTAATGTTTATTATTTCATCTTTAAACGTTTTAGTTACTTACTTGAATGTATCAATTGTCTGTACGAAATGGTAATACAAAGTTAGATTTTTTTATTCATTTCAGTGCTGGGCGATGTCGCGAAGGAGCTCCCTGGGGACGAGCGTGGAGCCAGTGAAAAGACTGGAACAGGGTGAGTTCAAATGGCTTGAAATTGTCTCACCAACGATAGGGTTATGAAAATAGGTCAGGAAGGTCTCGTTTACTCCGCGAGAAGTAAAATTAATGGTAAATTATTGCAGCGAGTCCCGCATGCCGAGTAAGCGGGTTCGATTCGCGGACGGATACACTCCCGGACAGGACTCGGACACGGAGCCTCCCCCCGTCAAGAAGAGACGAGTCCGTCGCTCGGGCTGCGCCTGGCCGTGTCCCTCGACTCACCCCGACCACGTGTCTCTTTGGGACGCCTTGCCGCCGCCTCCGCCGCCCCCGGGGGACCCGCCCCTCAGGAGAGCGAGGCCCAGAGGTACATTACAAGGACGTGTCATAACAAACAATACAAATAAGCGAAGTAAAATAAGATTTATAGAACCGTAAAATAATATAAAAGAGGAAGAATCTAGACTAAATTAATTGAATTAACGAAATAATTTTAGTTTACATTAGAAATGAAATAATGATTATTTCTTTTTTTAATTAGTTCCAGAGGCACTGCTGGGTGTAGGCATGGGCGTGGGTGTTGGCGTTGGCGTGGGCGTGGGCGGGTTCATGCCGCCGGAACCTCCGCCCGGACTCATAGCCCTGCATTGAAGGATATCAATGAAGATATTTTAATTTATAAGTATTCTAAGAAATGATATTGTAAATAAATGGATATTGATTGTTTTTGTATTTTTTATGCCATTCAAGTTTTTTGAAATACTTCTTTAGGCGCGTTATGAAAAATTGATGAGAGTGAAATTTTACGATGCGCGCGCACCGTGACACAAAATTAACAGACTGAAGTTAGTGGCGCATGTAAGCACGCACGCCGCCTCTGTTCACTGTGTATTTATATTTATAATATTTATCCACATGCTTTGAGTTTCTGCATTTAAAACACGTGTTTTCATTTTGTTTTCGTTATACAAGTGCAAATTTTATATGTGCGCCTGAATTATAATCAGAAGTGATTTAAATTGAATATTTAAATCAATACTAATTAATATTAGAAAATAATAATAAATATAATATTAATAAATATTTATTTATTTAATTTTTCAAACGTAAACTGAACTTTATTGACTATAATGACTCCTTTTCCAGTCTTTGATTATTTCATTGTAATTAATTACATGCATGCAATCAAAAACTATTTTTAATAATGCCAAAGAAGTATAACTTCTTAAGGTGCGTATAAATTAAGCGCGGCAGCCGCGCGAGCCAATGTTCCACCAGAGTTGACGTTCATTTGCCGCGCGAGCCATCAGCCAAAACTATAAATCAGATTAATAGTAGGGATTCCCAGAGTTTGGCTCACTCGTTGCCGATCGATCTAACTCGGAAATTTGGACTCTATTCCTACTAAAGCGACCATGCTGAGTCGTTTGCACTCACTCCCTATTAGGATTTTAAGACATGGCCGATTAGATAATTTGATAATCAATCATAATGAGGGTGAAATGCTCTCAATAAAATAAACTTCCACTTAATCTCGTACCTTATAAATTGTTAATTACCACCTGATGTTGCATTTCAGACGTGAAAACTGGAAAAGGACTGGCTCATAAATAAAACATGTTGTTTCCATATAGTATTTCTTTATTTAGATCTGCATCACATTTCAATACGATTTTACTCAACAAATCAAATTGAATTCAAATCATGTCTTGCTATATGAAAAATGTCTAATCTCAATCTGCAATACTTGAAGTACTTATTTACCACAGTATATAAATGTCCACAAAAAAGCTTTGCCATCGTCTACACTTGCGTGGTGTATTGCAAACGTACGAGGCTCGTTTGAACTATTTCAAGTTAGATACTTTAAAACTCCGACGTGACCTCATTGATCTAGTTATTTGTATAAAATATTTTACTTTAACATTCACACTAACTTCACAACACTTCTTACAACATTTTCCTTTCTTTGTAATCCTAGAGTTACTTGAACTAAAAGTCTTGTATACGTAGGTACATACCTACTGCTCGCCTATCTGCTACTTTGAATGGTCCAGTGAATAGGCTGTCTCGCTTTTACTACTTTATTACTAACATCGATGAAAATATTGATGTGTTTTACAACAGTCTGCAAGTTACCTTGTTAATTAGCTCTTAATGAGGTTTAAGTTTTCATTTGGTTTAGGTTGTTATTCGTATTTTTTTTAAATCTATAGATTACTTTGAGTCGAACTCGCAAAGTGGCTTCAAAACACGCACCAATTATTGCTTATCACGGCTATGTTGCCTCAGTTTTGCGCTATGGTATCCTTTTATGGGGAAATTCGGTAGATGTGAGTAAAGTTTTTATTACTCAGGAAAAATGTACCTATTAGGGCCGGTTTTTGCGCCGTGGTTTACCCAACTCTTGGTAAAAAACCGTTCTTTTTTTTTAATTTTCCCAAAAAGCGTTTTTTTTCCCGTTTGGGGGGCCCCCCTTGGGAAATTTTTCCCCCTTTTTTAAAAATTTTTTTCTCTTTTTCGGGGGGTTGTAAAGGGGGCGCCCGGGTTTTTTTTTTCCTCCCCCCTTTTTGTCCCCCAACACCCACCCTTATATATTCTTTTTTTTCTTTCTTTTTTTTTTTTTTTTTTTTTTTTTTTTTTTTTTTTTTTTTTGGGGGGGGGGGGGGGGGATTTTTTTTTTTTTGGGTTTTTTTTTGTTTGTAATATTTTTTTTCCGCCCCCTCCCCCCCCCCCCCCCCGGGGTGGGGGGGTTTTTTTTTTTTCCCCCCCCCCCCCCCCCCCCTGGGGGTTGGGTTTTTTTTTTTTTTTTTTTTTGGGTTTTTTTTTCCTCCCCTTGGTCTAGGGGTTGTCGCGCCCGCCCCCCCCCCCCCCCTCTTTTCTTTCTTTTTTTCCTCCCGGGCCGCCGTTTTTTTTTTTTTTTTTTTTTTTTTTTTTTTTTTTTTTTTTTTTTTTTTTTTTATAATTATTTTAAAAAAATAAAAAAAAAAAAAAAAAAAAAAAAAGAGAAACACAAGGGTAACATGGGCGTTAGGACCTCTTATAAGCTGTAGACCAATTTTCCACAAACTCGGTATTCTGTATATCTACTAGTACTCAAGTTTGTATATCTTTGAAGCAGTTATGGACTGTCAAGAAGCATCCCAACAATTTTACTTTAAAACTTACAAAGAAACGCTTTTTTATAGTAATGTATACAACTGGCCCTTATTAGGGGTTAGACCAATTTCCACAAACGGTATTCTGTATATCTATAGTACAAGTTTGTATATCTTTGAAAGTTAAAGAACATCCAAATTATTTAAAACTTACAAAGAAACTTGCTTGTATATACCGAGGGATCCAACACGGCTGCGGGTGCCTGCATCTTGCACCGCGCTATACCTACTCCAAAAATTGTTACGCCATGGCTGTGTAGATCGCTGCCATGTAATGTTTTCAAGGGGAAGGTGATTGGGTTTTTAAAGTCAAGGTGCTTTTATAGCGTGACCGAATATTTAGAACATAAGTTTAACAATTACTTATAAATGACTTGACTTCTTATTATGATATTTGCATGCCTATTTAAATATGGCTGATTGTCCGGATTTTTCTTGTTGTTCGATTTTTTATTTTGTACCACTATCTTGGCACATAAAGGATTTACATTTTTTCTAATATGAGGCTGGCTATCTGTCACTCAGGTCTCCTGATACAGAGACCAGTCTCTCACATACACTTCCTAATGTTTTCATCTTAGTTTAATCATAATAACCTTGTATGTATATGTGAGAGAAGAAATAAAGATTTGTGATGTCATATTTTCTTGTATTTTTTAAGGCATACACATTGTTTTAGGACGTATAAATAAATAAATAGCTAACGGGTAAATACAAAATTTTCTGATAACCTGGTTGGTTCAGACGAACAAAACAAAGCTTCTTTATAACAAACCAATTTATTTAGGATTTTGTATATTAGACATCAAAAACCATGTTTGATTTACACTAATTGCTCAGATTTTATTTGAACATTGACCAACAGCTGACACGGCTCACGTTGCTGTTCTTAATGCTAATAGCTGTAGGTGCGCGATACACCGACAGCTCACGAGAATAGTATTGTATGTGTGAAATGTGAATAGGTGTAAGTAGTAATTTAAGATAATATCCTTTAACAATAAACCAGATATGAAATAAACCAGTATGCTCTCTTATTCATTTCATTTAGTATTTATAAATTTAAATAGAAATTACATAGTCCACTAGCTGGCAATCGGTACAAGTCCTAATAGATAGATAATGCATAATATTAAAAAAAAAATATTAACTGGTACTGAGCAGTTTATATAATTTAATGACAAAATTCTGCACCAACTTTCATAGTCGAATAGCCACGCTTTGCAATGTAGGTAGAGGCATTCTGAGGGAAAATGAAACCACAGCTTTAAAAACAATAAAATAGATTTTCATTTATTGTGAGACGAAAAATACAACAATGGTACTTATTATCTAAAATGATTAGTGGCAGATTGTCATGTCAAAACAATTGTTTGTTAGGAAGTGGCAGTCCATTCCTAACGTAAGGTAATGTCTTTCATCGGAAACCACGTGGTAACGAATATAACGAAACAGCAATTAACACGAAACGATACCATGCCCTATGCGCTGAAACCGTATCTAGAATTACCATAAACATATGAACTCTCAATAGATTCATTTAACTAGGTTCTCTTAAAAAGGCTTTTACCGAAGCTAATACTCGATTACTTACAAGATCGTTAATAGTGTAATGGTCGCGTTTCTCGTGCTACGTCGCGTCGCGGGCAGCGGGATAACTCTACTACGAAACGTTCTATACAAAATTGAACTTGCCGATCGCTACGTCGTTTCATTTATTTATATTTATTACTAAACAAGTGGGCAGCGAGCGGTCCGGCTCTCGCCGACTCCATCTTTACTTATATCGAAATGCCACTTGCATCCTACGACCCTATGAGCGGCCGCGGCGCTAGAGAAGGGCTGCGCCCGGCGGCCGAAGCGGGCCTCTAGCTATTGCTCATAGAGAAGAAATTCCAAAATCAATTCGTTACATCGTAGACTATACTTTGTTTAATAAACTTGAAGTATTTATCAATAATCAATAAGTACATTACAATAATTGAATAGTTAGTATGTGTTCATAAGAGACTAGCATTACAAATAAATACCTTCAGCTATACAATTTTATCTATTTAAACATTTTGAAGATGTTCAAAGTGGACTAGGTCGGTTCGTAGACAAGAAGGCGCGCTCGCTTCTTGTTTACCAACTGTCGATGCGTCTACGTTCGAGATATGACTTAAATGTATACTTAGATTTAGGGAAAAGGTCGTCAAAACAAAAAGAAAAGTTATTGAAATTTATAACAAACACCTTAACTAATATTTCAATAATTTAGTGTTAAGTATGTATATATATAATATATATATATATAAGGCGCGCGCGGGGGTCGCAGGTCGGGGCGGGCGGAAGGCGAGACTCGTCTGCGATAATTAATCAGTTAATTAATGAAACGGTTTATACAAAAGGCGAGTTCGCCTGCGGCCCGCCGCCGCGCGACTACGTCTTCGACAAAAGCGATATAAAACATTTCATTCCGTGATGACACGACGCTACGCGAATTTTTATTTATTTTGTTTCAAAAAACACACGCCCATTCGCTCGTTCTCGCGCTTAACACTAAAATTAATTATTACAATATTTCATTTGTTCAACAGACGCGCGCCGGGGCACGCGTATAATAATAAAATATTTTCAAAACAATCGAATTAAACACACTAGTTAACAATAAGTAACGTTCGGTGCGGGCGTTAGACGGCGGTCTCGGTGTGGCTGTGGCTCGACAGCCGCTCCACGTCCAGATCCGGCGGCGCCAGGTGCTGCTCGTAGTCCACGCTGGACGAGTGCGAGTAGCGCTTCGACAGCGCCGTCTGCTTGCGCAGCGCCTCCGCCAGCGCCGCGTCGGCAAGGGAGCCGCGCCCGTCCAACCCCTGCCGGAACGCGTTCACCACGCGGATCTGCGCACAACAGTCCGCTCACGCCGCCGTCCCTCACGCGCCCTCCGGCCCCTCTCCACCGAGAGCGTCGGCCGGAGGTCGCGTGTCCCAGAGCCACCTCTCGACTTACCGCGAAGCGAAATCGGAAATTTTATGCATGTCATTTTGCGGCAAATCGAGAGGTTCGTTATTTAATTAAAAAAAACAAATAAAAGCACATCGAGCCATAAGAGAGGCGAAAGCGGAATAAAACTTGAGTCACATCGGTCCACGACATCGAAGGAAGTAGATCACACTCCACACTCGACCGGGCTCGGGCGGGCGCCCGTGAAGTTGCTTCCGCGCATGCAGTGTCGCTACCCCCAAATACACACTCGTGGTCACTCGCCGTCTGCAGGGTCATCCTGCTTAAAAGCAACGCCCTCGTCCCGCGAAAGCCACCTCTAGTATGAGCTTTTTATCATCGAGACCACTCTGTTCATTTAACTGCCACTCGTACCGACCCGAAGTGGTCGGAAGGTAGTAAGCGGAATCTACAAGTTTTAATGAAATAACTCATGCTAGAGGCAAAGCTGACCCTAACCACCTAAGCGCTCGATATCACTAAAAGCTAACGTATGATAGGTCCGTGACGGACCCCTGGCATAATGGTACTTATCGGGTGCAAAATGTGTGGCAACAAAATATATACAACTAACTCTAGTGATGCAGTATAATTTTACTGGAATGTCCTACTAGCTAGCGGTACGATTTTTTGTGACTAAACTAATTTTAGCGCTGGATGATCCCTATCGCTAAGCGACTACTGAATAGAATCCAGGCTCACTTTTTTATCAATAAGTGTTTCATGATAACTAAATTTCGAATAAAACGTCCTAAGTATCATGTATAAGTTCGAAGGCGCAAACGTATTGCACGTTGAATGGATCGAACTAAATACAGTGAACAACACTGACGTGATGCGAGTGATCTCATGCGGCGTGCGGTGGCGATGGAGGCATGCAAGCAACACTGACCGATTAAGTTCAACAGCCTCAGCAAGGAGTGAAGTTAAAGGGTCAGCTCACAACAAGAAGGATACAGTAACAACGGAAACACTTGAGTTTAGAGTACAGTAAAGTCGAACAGAACATTGAGGGAAAAATAAAAACAAACGAGGTGAGTGAAAGAGCAGGCGTTTGTTCAAATCTTACAGCTTGATCAGTTGAAGTCTTGCTGTAGGGCACAGGAATCAAGCGCTCTTGTAACTCGCCACCTATGACCTTCCGTGTGCAATGGGGATTCATGGAAAAGAAAATAAAAACAAGAATATGAAAGATCACGACTCTTAAAAGAGTCACGACGAGCCGTGTGGACGGCGGCTCCAACGCTATTCTAAACTCGCAATGTACTTTCCTGTAGCTGTGAGGGCTATTTACAAATAATTATATCTACAGAGAGGATGTTAAATAAGAAAATATTTAGAATAGCGTTCGATGCGATAGCAGTGACAGTTTCTGCAGTGTAGAAATAGACTCAGAGGGACTGACTTAAGCAGTGCACCTCGAAGCGTCAAGATCAGGAGAGACTAAAATAAAAACAGAAAAAAAAAAATAACGCAGGGTCTTCCTACACCGTAAGAAGCACATTCATGGGGTTGTGCACTTAAAACTATTTAACATTGTTTTTATCCAGGGCTCCGTTTAATTTACAATTTGAAAGTAGAACCAATTGGAGTGAAGATTCATCTCCTCCCTCGTAAGGTGAGTTTAAACCAATTACGCTGTTTGCGTGTGTTGTGACTGTGTTCCGTGTTCACACGTTCGTGTGTCCATGCGTTCTAGAAGCTCACATCGATTCGCTCACATACCAGATCTGTACCCTACATCTAACATAAAAGCTAGTGTGAGACCTACATGTCATACATCTAAATAACATCTATGTAAAGCTAGTCGTGGCTGTCGATGTAACTAGGTACTAGTCTAGTCATGCGCAAACAGTGACAGCAAGCAAGCGTAGTCTACACGTCTAGATATAACGACAAACATTCTCGCACGTTTGACGATATCACAACGGCAATAATCCCATCGTTGAATTACCTTATCAATGCGGCTCTCCAACACGAAGCAACGGTTGAAATAAAAGTTAATTTTCGAGTACAGATACTTTATTACTAAAACATGAAGTTTCCACGCGGCTACGCGGTTTCCGTTCATGCTATATTCAGTGTATAAGACTATTCGCGTGAATATTTAAGCGTTTATAAGATCGGTTCCGTTTCAAAATTGTATGCCTAATGTTGGTGTACACCGAGACACGTATTTCCCTTAATTTCCTTAGGAGATAATCTATATCTTAATATAAGCAGGCATTGAATAATTTTCACTACACGAAGTGCAGAAATTTTAAATTACTCTAAGTCAATATAAATAGTTTATATCTTAGAATATAAGAAGGATAGTTAAATTTGCTTGAAACCAAACTTGTCGAGAGAAGAAACGAAAGTGTTCCAAACTAAACTATAATATCGGAAAGGAAGGTATATTAATATGTAGTGTAAAATATAATATAGATATATATATTTATATATAAATGTAGGTGGAAGTATATATTGTCTGTGACTATTGACTAAGTGCATGCACTTCTAATACATATTATAGGTGGTGGAGCAAGATACCATGCATCAAAACGATAGGCAAAGGTCGCCTTCATTCTTCATGAGAAGCCACCACTGCCTGCACACTACGGGCAAACACAGTGAGCACATATCGACCATACACAATACACAAACTACAGACATTCACTAAAATATAAAATGAAAATATCAAGCAAATTCAAATATCCTATCATTAAAAAGCACTTGTCAGCGAAATTCATAAATAATTTTTATATAAAAATGGCACATTATAATTTTTATATAAAATTTTAACTTTCAAACACACAACAACATCACAATTAGAGAAAATTGTTTAAAGAATTATTATTTACAGAAAATTATAACAAATAATCACGTTTTTATATTATTTCGTAGAAAAATAAATACGTTTATAACGACTTATTAAAAAAAACGCGAAAAATTCAATTTAAAAATTGGTGCACCATTATTTACTAGACTATATTTTGCAACTTATTCTAATACTTTTAGTAATATTTTTAATCTACTAAAGATTTCAGAAAAAGTTATACGAGATTATAATTTAAAAGGCGTATTTTTCATTGGCAGTTGTTTAACTCACTATATGTAAGCTTTATTACGCGGTACGATTTCAGTTACGATACGACATTATTTTATAAATTTATAGGTTCGTTTATTCAACGCTCTGATGCGAAACGGGGCTGAGCGCTGGTATGGAACTGCCCCCAGATTGCACGCTGATTCTCCTGTGCTCCGCCAAATAATTATTGACAAAAATCCTGCGGCCAGCCAATATGTCCGCCTTTTGCTGGAAAACAATGACACGGCCGAGTGAGTCTCGCTCGGCTCGAACGAGTCAGCCGGCCTCTACAACGGATAGGCGGCCTTCTAAAACCAAGCAATCACCCGCATTGCCGGCCGATTGGTTTTAGAACTCCGAAAAATCTAGAAGTGAGCTTGCTTGTTAATCGTTACAATACTTAGCAGTTCGTATCTACCCTAGGTGCCTAGACTAAGTTAGGGGTCATTCACTAGCTGGGTTGGGGTTCAAGGGCATCCAGTAGCAATTACAAAAAGTTAAAAATTACCGTGAAAAAAAACTACAACTACGAAAGAAAGTTACGAGATAAATCCGGTATGTGAGCATCGCGGTGAAGTGCGGTTCACTCCGAGGTCCAAAATAAAATATCGCTAATGTTCAAATAAATATTTATTAAAATGAGTTTTTAACTGGTCGCTTATATGCCGGTAAAGTTAGTCGTTACAATTAAATCAAAACGGAAAAAAAAACTTAATGAATAAGTACTTACACAACCAAGTCAACGTTAAAACATAAAAAAATAAACAAAAAAATTAAAAGCATATTAAAATGGTAAATTAGTTTCTTATCTTTCTAGATTTGGTGTAGTGGAGACATACATACATTTGTTTATTCGTTTTAGCTGCTTAAACTAAATTTAGAGGTTTGGTAGGACAGATCTGAACAATACGGTTTAATCTTATCACTTTTGAGACTAAATAAATTAACATTCTAAGCGCATAAATATTAACTCTACCAAACATCTAATAAAATACAATTGTGCATACTCACATACATCGGTCATGCACATCGCTGTAACATAAGCATGATCACACTTTAAATGCGAAGCGAATTAAAAAAATATAAAACGAAAGTAAAAACAACGTTTTGTACCACATAACATGTTCTTCAATATATACTCTGTACTTACAAGCTAACTTTTGACGCACACGTTCAAAGTGTCACTCGAGCCTTCTTCACACATGCGTCGGTCGGAGTCGTCTGGCACTCGGTTTTAAGTTTCAAGATCCTTTCGTCTGTTTCTCGTCATGACTCTGAATAACTCATGTGTGAACAAGCTACGTAGGGGAGCTCAGTTCTGGCGGGTAGTTTACGTACTGTCGTGTTTCGTTAGAGTATGTACCGAAGGCAAACAACGTGCAAGACGACATGCTCACTGTACGGTCAGCAACGGATATGTATTATACGAAACTTATTTTCGCGTTCTGCTGGAGACGGCACTACTAATCTGTTCCTAACCTTTGTGAATGAAAAAGTTACCGAGAGCTTTGGACCTGCCCATAAAAATGCAAATCTATCGCTGACCGACGTTACGCATCTACCCCGTATCTATCTACTAACTGTTAGTACGGACCGTAACCGCTGCGTGGCTCCTACGTCACCCTACACTTACCGTCATCATCTGAAATAGAACGAGCTCTAAACATCAACTACCCTCAATTAAAACTCTCTTTTATCTTAAACTTTTATTACTGTAAATATACTTTAACATTAAGTCGTATAGCGTCTCATTCGTGCCGCCGTAAACTTTAGACCTAGGTAGCTATTTCGGACAGGTAGATATGGGTAAAGTGGTCCCAAAAATTTCTATCAAACATAACGAATCGTTCGGCTATTAAGTAAAGGTCTAACGCTGTAGAGCCGTATCAACCGCACTCACAATACAAACAAGGTGTACGTCGAGTAGCTAACCTATTTACAAATAAGTCCTCTAAAATAGCAGTGTTCGTTAGCCGCAGACGCGGTCGAGTAAAGTTTCGAAAACGTGAGGGAGAGGGAGGGAGCCGTAGTCGCTGTGCACTACCGTTACCGCTCGAGAAAAACGCCGTTCGATAGGGTTGCCAACTCTAGTATACTTATCCTAATTTTATCATAAATAACGAAATTTTAAACTGTTTTAATACGTTTTAATAAAATATTTTAATTGCAGACCGCTTACGTACGAGTCGGCTTCCCAAAGGTCGTCTTAAATATAATGCAGGAGGCGTTACGAACCATTCATTATATAAACAAGTGGAATATAAAAATACACCACAAACACAAGATATGCGACTCGGCAATCGTCGATTACGAGTTTGAACCTTTGGGCTTCGGATCGTCTCACAACTCAAACGAAGGTTCAAACGCGTAGCGACACAGACCGAGAACGGACCGAGTCGCAAACCCTGCGCGTCGGTCCGGTCTCCGTCCGGGCGTGTCGCGATCCGGCGTCGGGTTCGAGTGTTCGGTGGCAACCCTGGGTGCGGTTAAGTACGGTCGGCGGCGGGTACGTCATCGGCGTCGATGTAGGCGATGTCCTGCGCCGGCGCGCGCAGCCTCGAGCGAAGGCCGGCCGCCGAGTGCGCTGACAAGCGCTCCTCGAGGTCCTCGAGCGTAGACTTGAACGCGCGCACCACGCGGAGCTGCAACCGAAAGGCGCTCTCATCCCGTCCTGCGCCGCCGAACCGTCCGCCCGCCCCGCGCCGCCCGCGAGTGTGGCGTGGATGCATGCAGACCTGTGCCGAGTGAATCGACCACGTGCAGTGACCCGGGACCGAGCTAAAGACCGCGTGCCGGAAGTGTGAGGACCGTGCGCGGCTCTCGGCAAGACTTTGACTCGCGGAACGAGGCGTCGCCGCTGACGACAGACAGACTGCGGTTGCGACCGGAACGTCAAACGGCTTGCCGCGAGCGTCGAGAGAAGAAACTATGCTACCCACTAGAGGACGACGGGTGGAGCCGACGAAACGCTCCTCTCCTATCGAAAGAACGTCAACGAGCCAGCTGAAACGTCGTCGGAGAGAAGCGTTCATCGGCCGGATGAGGGACGGCGCTAGCCGCCCTAGGAGGCTGGAGTACGCTAGAGGCGCTGGGGCACTAGGGGCACGCTAGGGCTGGCTAGGGGCACGCTAGGGGTACCGTGAGCGTCCGTCGCACGCAGCGTGCCGGCACTCGCCGCGGCCGCCACTACACCTCAGTCTCGAGCACGGGTCGGGGCTGCCAACAACATCGCTCTACCACGCGCGCCTCGCCCCATTCCACACCGTCCTATACGCAGCCCTAGCTTAGCTCGACAGGCCGGGGACAGCCCTACCGCCCTCTGGCCGCTCCCGTCACAGCGATACGTATGAAAGTACTCGTTTAGAATTTAAATGATTAATCGTATTCAAGAAATAGGTTACCAAAGATGTAATTTTTTTACAAAACCAATAATATCAAGAACTTTAAAATTTAACTGTGATGTGTATTAAACCGATTTTGACATTTTTGCTGGATACACTAAATGCAGTCGAGGTGAGACTAGACTTGATTTTACAACATTTTATTTGATACGAGTAATTTCATTTTGTATCGTAAAGTAGGTAATCTTTTAACTTGAAGACGTGAAATTATGAGGAAAGCAGCCAGCGGGTGACATGACGTCATCTCCAACGTTGGCGAATTTAAGGGCCAGAACAGAGACCAATCTAAAGCGACGACGAACAAGGAGGGATGCAATTTGAAGGTTGAACCAATAAAACAAAATAACATCGAAATCAACAGCGTAAAGAAGCAGATGACGTCATGACTTTCCCCAATCTGTCGCAGCCGAAGCAGACACCTTTAAAAAATACATTTATTTATGTGTGTCTGTACATGGTGGGACGTGAAAGGGATGCGAGCTCGAGTTACCGGCTTATCACAGTCGAGTGTTCAATGTATGGAAAACAAACCAAACGGGCTGAAAATAGGACAGCTTCAGAGCGTGTGTAACCGAAGTCGTGTGTGGTGTGTGTGCGCGTGTGTGTCGACACCGGTGTCTTTGTAAATGGAAGTGCCAACTAAAGAAAAACAAACCAAAACGTACTGAGGAGCTAGGGGAGGTCGAACGAGGCCTTAGCTTTCCCGACGTCTACTCTAGGCCCAGAAAACGCCGCAGCTGCCACCCAGTGCAAGGAGGGGACTACGTCGCCTAACACGGTCTATACATGTCGAACGCTATGCACGCAGTCATCTTAATCTACCATGCTATGTTAGCGGAGGAGCCCAGGATTTCCCTACGGTACGATCGGTACGGCGCGCAAACGCCACGGAGTTTGCGCGGACGCACGAGGTCAGTAGTTAATAAGCTACACAACTTACTAGGTTAACTTTATCGTATGAGTAAACACTAACGCTACTTACCCTCACCGTCGGCTCGCTATGTACACTACTGAGAGACACTACACAAGCCCGACATAATACGCAACATAACACAATGAATGCTTCCAAGGCAGGCAACTACGCGCGACCGTCGGCCGCTACCTCCTCGGGACGACACACGGACAAAACAAAACAAACAAACGGAACAAAACAAATTAAAAACACAAAACATTGACACTAGGGGAGAGGGGTGGGGTCGAACGAGTCGTTAGTACGTCGCAAATTCACGGCATGCTCTACAGGTCTGAGAAAATCCACTCCACACTCAAATAAAACGTTCCTCGGCAGCAGTAACTCAAAAAATTCGGTATAAAATAATAAACATCGAACAAATGAATCGAAATAAATGTATCAAACGAACGTTACTGCTCGGAACACGTGTACGCGTGTTAGTGGGCCGTGCGCGGGTCGCGAGTCGGTTCGGGAGCACCCTTAGGGGCGGGATGGCGATCACAAGCGAACACTATCTTAAACCAAACTCAAATAAACAGACAAATAAATATAAAAACAAACAGTCAGTACGACTAAATAAAAGATAGACGGAAGGAAGTCGCTCGTGTTTCGTAATGTGGCTAAACTATCTCTATCGCTAGTCATAGTCACTGTTTGGGGTCGCACTGAGGGATAAGTAACAACGTCACAGCCTACAGATCGCATGCCGACGGGTATAAGGCGGGAGATAAATAGATAGTTCGGGAAGCGTACGCTCTTCGGTGCCGCCGACCATGCACGGCCGGCACCGACGTCTACGGGTTTACCCCGGGTCTCATGACAGGGACAGTACTACTCGAGAGCGAGACGAAAGGTAAAGGCGGAAACGTGGAGAGATAGCTGAAGAGTGTCATGAAACCAGGACGTAAATAAAATTAATAAAAAACAATCCAATCCCGTTTCGTTCGCTCGCCGACCGGTCGCGTCTCCGGCGAACGAGTTGTCGGCGAGCGAACGAACGAGTCGCTACGTTAATGGGCCAAAAATAATAGCATCACTACTCTCATAATATGTAAAGTGTTTCTCTGTGTAGGCATAGAAAAAACTTAGGTGTAGGAGAATTAACTGAACCGAGAAACGAAATAAAAAAACAAAATTAAATAAAATAAATCTAAAAATATTTAAAGTTACGAGAATCGCAATAAGTCGTGTCGACGTTAAACATTGCGAACTGTGAATAATCCGGCTCACTGTATGAATGTGTAACAGAAATGAAGTTTCGTCTAAGATATTCTTTGGATATTTGGATGCAATGGTTTGCTCTGTATGCAGAGACGGGAATAGTGAACTGATTTCGTTCGGACTCGACGTCCGGATGCCCAACTATGTCCTCGGAGGCTGCGCTCCACAAACTATTCGCTGTAAACTAAAACTTATCCCTCTTTCTTAGCATTACCATTCCTAACCGTTCCTTCCTCTCGGAGAATCTTCACGTCCTTCGACTAGTTTTTATGAATGTCGTGCGACGTGAAAACGCTCTCGTCGTACGGGACTTTGGCTCTACGGTCAAAGTCCAGTACGGCAATATGAGAAAATCACATTATGACTTTTAAATTTCACAGCCCGCGGACATAATGTGACTTTCCTCTAACGGTCGTTTCGTTACCCTCATCATTTTGATTAAACATTAAATAGCAGTCGAAGTAAAATTTTAAAAGACAAATCCCAACATATAATCCCCCAATTACCCTATTTATCTCAGTTTCACATAAATTTAGTAATCAAAAGCAGACAGACTCACAACCCTACATCTTCCCAAATGGCGATAAGTGACGGGATTCAAAACGTAAGTAAAAAATAATAATTATGTTATCGAATGACTATTTTCTATCCTTATTGCTATCAGTCTTCATAGGAACAAAATTGTAATTTTAACTAACGACAATACTGATTTCTTTAAAAATTAATCAAACCCCGGGACCCCCGTCCCGTCACCTAAGGCCCCGCGGTCGCCCGGAGTGCGTACCTGTGTCTGAAGGCGCGTGAGGCCCCGGATCCAGAGGATCTGTCCCGCTCGGGGCTTCTTGTCGAGGTCGGAGTCGTAGTCCGGCCCCGGTTGGAGCGACTCGGGGTCCGGCTGGCCGCGGCCCCAACTGGGAAAGAGGAGCGAGGTCAGAGCGCCGTAGAAAGCGAGTGAGGGAATTCGCTAAGGCTAAAATGAAATGATCTGACGAACTGTCTGAAGTCCGAACTACTCGACGCTACAAACCCGACTTCTACTTCTGAATGATTCGGAAATCGATAACGTGGACTCACAGTAGATCCCGACGCTTAACTCTAGCGCTAGTGGTGGGGACATTGGAGGATTGTCTGGTCGGCGGTTCGGATGGGCGCTTGCGCTTGCGCATCTCAGCCCAGCTTAAACCGAATTATTAAAAGAAATGGAAAATTTAGGAACGAGCTGAGTTCGAAGGCGAACGGTGGTACTAACGAGAGTTTCTTGGGTATCTTCCTGGTGGGGATGCTGGTGACGAGCTGTCCCCAGACGAGGGTTCCGGCTCCGAAGAATAGACACCAGAGCCACTGCTCCAAGGTTAGACCCGCCGTGCTGAAGGCCATTCCGCCGAACTGGATTATTATGACCTGGAATGCGAGCGGAGGATTGCATTAATCTCGTCGATCACGAAACAAGTTCAGGTTCGTAACCGAGATCACCTGTGAGAAGGCGGTGCCGATCCAGATGGAGTAGAAGATGGGGTTGGTGAAGAGGCCCTCGAAGACGTTTCTCTGGCCGTGGATCTTTCGGGCGTTTATCTCGTTGAAGAGCGTCATCATCACGAAGGTGTTGAAGATGATGGTGAAGTGCTGGGTGGGCTCCGTGCCCAAGGCCTGGCCGCGCCCGGACGGGATGTTCAGCATCCTGTCGCCTGGATCGCGGATTGTTTACGATAAATTAACAGTCGATACACTTTAGCGTTTATGAAATTTAAAAAAAAAACTATCGGATTGATTTATTGATATGTTCGGCGACCGTTATATCTCACCGACAAAGAGCAGAGAGAAGATGATAAAGAGCTGGTAGACCGCTTGTCCGAGGATGTTCTTCATCATAGTGCGGGAAATGAGAGGCTTGGTTCTGCCGTAAGGCTTTCGCTGGAGCAGGTCAGGGGTCGGCATCTCCGTGGCCAGCGCCAGAGACGCCAAGGTGTCCATTATGAGATTCACCCACAACATCTGGACCGCCTGGAAGAATATTTTGACGTCATGGAAGTTCGATCGGAGATAAAGAAATGTGGATCTCTAATGTCGCGAGAGTCTCACCTTGAGCGGACTGTCCTGAATGGCGCAGGCGCCGATGAAGGCCACGATGACGGCCACCACGTTGACGGTGAGTTGGAACTGCAAGAACTTGGCGATGGAATCGTACACGTTACGACCCCACATCACGGCTTTCACGATCGAGGAGAAGTTGTCGTCCGTCAGGATGATGTCCGAGGCCTCCTTGGCCACGTCCGTGCCCGCGATGCCCTGGAGTGAGGAGGCGAGGGTGAAAGTCTCCGAACGAAGAGAAAAGAAACGCAAACGAAGATACTCACCATGGCGAATCCGACGTCGGCCTTCTTGAGCGCGGGCCCGTCGTTGGTGCCGTCGCCCGTCACGGCCACCACCTCCCGTTTGTCGAAGGCCTTAGATTCGATCATGCCCTTCACCAGGGTGTACTTGTCCGTGGGAGACGAGCGGGCCAGCACGCGCAGCTTCGGCCACACTTTGTCCAGCAGGTGCTGCTGGACCTGCATTTGGACGAGGTGAATGAGAGCGAGAAATGATTTTATTTTATTTCGATGAAATGCCATTAAATCAACCCCGAGTTAATTCTACGAAAGTGTTGGATACCGAGTTGGAGTCAGAGTATTGTCGACGCGCGCGTTTAAACCCACGGGAAGTAAGCACATAATCACCTCTCCGTTGGCGTCCCGCACCCGAGTGTTGAACTCTTTGCCCTCGAGTATGAGGAAGTCGTCGGTGGGCTTGAGGATGCCGCACTTGACGGCGATCGAGCGAGCCGTGTTCACGTTGTCGCCGGTGACCATGCGGACCGTTATGCCCGCCTTCTGACATTTGCGGATGGCTTCGGGCACCTGTGGGAGACGGAGAGTATAGTACGATCGTTTCTGCGACGTCAATCGAATACTAAGCGGCGGCGGAGAACCCTACCTCGGGTCTGACGGGGTCTTCGATGCCGACGACGCAGAGGCAAGTGAGGTTGTTGACGATGTTGTCTTCGTCCTCCCAGTTCGGCTCCTGGTCTATGTGCACCTGAGGGTCATCGTTCGTTGTGATATCATAATTTGGCCTTCAGACATATTTCAATTTGACAATTCCGAAAATAATGCAAAAAATAACTTGAAAAATTAAAACGAAAACCTAAAACAATTTAAAATACTAGTATAGTGCGGAAAGTGATTTATTGTCACTAAGTGTCCTTCTTAAAAAGTAGTCAATAAAATACATCATTACGTAAGCTTTGCCATGAAGTAGATCGTTAGGAATAGGCGTATTAAAAAAAAGGTATAAAATAAAACACAACAGTGGCGCCAAACCTCTTTAGGTCTGGGCCTCAGATTTCTGTATCTGATTCATCGTCACTAGGCCAACACAGCTCTACATAAATATATAAATTTAATATTTATTTCTCCGGGTATTCCGATTTAAACGAATTAATAGAACACGATACCTGGTTGATCTCAGCCTTTCCGGGCACGAAGTCCCTGTAGGCCACGGAAATGGTCCGAAGTCCGTCGCAGGCCATGGGTTCGATGACCTGTCGCACGAGCCGGTCCTGCATGTCTCTCGTGAATTTCTCCAAGCGACCCTCGTGACCGTAGATGAACGCACATCTGAAGCGCGACAAACGGAAATGTATAAAATGGGAATACAAGAGGAACGGCAACCGGTTTGAATGATAATAGACTCACTTCTTAAGTACAATTTCGGAAGCACCCTTGGTGTAGAGCCGATATCCGCCCTTGTGCGGGACGACCGTGGACATACTTTTCCGAACCGAGTTGAACGTGTACACGCGCGTGAACGACTCTTCCGGGTGTCGTTCGCGAACCGCTTCGTAGCTCTGCCCCAAGCCTAAGACGAACCCTAGGAGGGCGCACTCCGTCTTGTTTCCCACTTGCATCGGAGGTCCCGTCGGGTCCTGGGAGGGCTGGAACGAGAATTACTTCAATATAAAACCGGTCCTATTGAGAAATAATGGATCCGGCGCCTCTACGCACCATGATCCTGGAGGTGAAAGCGCTGTTGACGGATATGCCCTCGATCATCGTCTCTCCGACGTCGGCCGGGATGTCCCTGAAGTGAGGGGTGACCTTGCACAGCTTCTCGCAGATGTACGACTGGACCACCGTCATCCTGTTGGTGGTGAGAGTTCCGGTCTTGTCGGAGCAAATAGCCGTGGCGTTGCCCATGGTCTCGCAGGCGTCCAAGTGGCGCACCAGGTTGTTGTCTTTCATCATTTTCTGGAATCATCGTCAATGCCATCGCTTAACTAGTGAAGATGTAATAATTCGAATGTTGAATTATTTTAGAACTATAGAAGAGAATGTAATATATTCTTGTGAAACTACATTCTGGTAAGCAGTGAGTGGTTTCCTCAGGAATGCTACCTGTGTTATTCCTGCCAAGTCAGTGTGGGCTAAAAAGAATGTTTTGTGAAGTGAAATGTTTGCCTTTGCACATGATTTGTTGAAAGCTTACCTTGACCGAATAAGCGAGCGACAGGGTGACTGCCAGCGGTAGACCTTCAGGCACGGCCACCACCAGCACGGTCACTCCGATGATGAGGTGTTTGACCAGGTTGTTGATGTACGTGGCCTTCCACACCTTCTGCTCTATCACGAATGTTTGCACGCAGAATTGGATGATGAGGATTATCACGGTCAGCACGGCTATCGTCGACCCGGCGTACCCGATCTGTAATCGTTCCGAATATCTCTTCTGTTCCTCTTTTTCTATGAACGTCGTAATAAACGTGATAGTGAAGCGATTCTGACCTGAATGGCCAACTTGGTGAGCTTGGCCTGCAGCACGGACTTCTCCTTTTTGTGAGAGGCTTCCGGCGCCGGTTTGTCTCCGGAGGGAGCCACGTGGTTGTCGTCGGGGTGGGCGTGGTTCGCGGCGGCCGGCAACGCGTCGTCGTCACCTAAACCACCATCTACTCATCTTAGACTGCGTTGAGCGTTCACTCTTTGGGGCTTCCGCTATTGTCGAGCGAGGCGAACCGAACCCGTAGCGGAAGCCCGAAATTCATTCGACACACGAAGCGTGGCAAACATCAATGTTAATCGAAAATAGACTAATTTCGTACGTCGTGCTTTGAGCTGAACTATCACAAGGAAATATTTTAAAGTGCACATTAAATTGTTAAAAAATATAGTTTAAAACTAGTTTTAATCTTTACATATTGAACAGTTTTGAAATATTTAATTCGGAAGCGTCGCGAGCGATGTAATAAAGCATAATGCGGGAAGCAGAGCGAGAGGTGGGGCAAGCGGGGCTGAGGCGAGGAGACTTACCCGTGAGGCTCTTGCGCTGCGTCTCCTTGCGTTGCTTTTTAGCTTCTAGCGGCCCAAATTGTCAAACGTATCCGATACGAGCATTCGTACGAGAGGAATATCGGATTAACGTCATGCCAACACGACAGTACACGATGCGGGTAAATGTGTATGTTTATCGTTTATTCGTCAGCGGGTGCGGCGGGTGTGGCGGGCCGGGACGGGGTGGAGAAAAACGAAAAGAGAAACCGGATGTCATTGTATGGCTCACTAGTGGGGTATCACTAAGGTCGTCTCGCTCCAACACTTTTGAGTGTGACGAAACTTAATTCCTCGTAACTTGGGTCAAAAGTGTTCGAGCAAAACCTTCGATGCGTTTATTTCATTTATTTAAACTGGAAACGAGATTATTTTATATGGGAACAATTTATACAGATAGGGGAAGACATCTAATCTAACGACTACGGGGTTGGGGCACGGGACCATGCTGACGAGACAGTTTCGGGCATTAGTCAAACACATACACGAACTGACGACAACGTTGCACCGTATTTAAATAATGGGTTCTCAAATCATAAAATAATCTCATATGCGGGATGAAACTGGTGAAATTGATCTCATATTAATTAATTCAACGAGATGGAATCGTTTTCGGTACTAGTCATTTCACCAATTTAATCTAAAATTAATACGACACAGGTGCGTCGTGAATGAGCATCGCAATCATGTCGCTAATGCACGCAAACTCTTTGACATTTGATATCTAAGCAATAAAAACGTTGACATGTAACAAATTCAAAGAAAAAAAAACGTTTTAAAATGTCGTCTGATAGCGTATTATTACGTATTAGAACGTTCTACGATTATTTATTATTAAGAAGATTTTTTATTTTTGTGTGATAATCGATATCACCTGTCAAAGCAAACTAAGATTCTAAAAGCTCAGTCACTGGTTCGTGTTCTCTAAATGAGCATTATCTAGTTAGCTATTAGCGATTATATTTTATTCTTTCTGGCATATATAACTTTAAATTTTGAAAATTTATTCAAATGACTACCAGAAAGAACTAGAGGATTAAGCGGAGAGGTTTCTGACCTTTCTTCATCTGCTTGATCTCCTTCTCTTGCTTGTCGACGGCTGCACCCAAAAGGGTGAAAATAATTCCGGCTTGCGAGTTCACTCCCACTGCGGTTACTAGCATTTTTCCTGAGCCTGGAATTCAGTGTTATTATATTTTAATTTAGACAAATAACAAGTTTCACACCAGTGAATGTCCTTTTACGAGTTTTTAAATAATCCGAGTTGAAAACAAACCAAGATTTAATTCTCAAGTCTATAAATAAGTAGTTACCTATATAGGTACATATAAATAAGGTCTCATACAACTTTTCACAATTTTTTACTAGTATTTGAATATTTATGTAAGGAAAAATCAATTACTAAGAGAAACATTAATGGCAATTCATATAAATTTATTACCTTCCATAACGTGTGTACCGGATAGCACCATGGGATCAAACGATTCTCCCTTCTTCACATGGTCCGATTCACCCGTTAACGAAGACTCGTCGATCTGGAATACATAGATTCATATATACTACCATCGACCAAAAAATAGTTTCTTAGTGTCATTTAATATAACTCATCAGACATCTGTGCCTAAACATTTATGGAAGTTAGTGATAATATGTGGTCGGTCGTGTTTACGTGATCAAAAATATACTGATTCAAAGATATAATATGTATGCAAGTTCTCGAATGACAATTTACGGGTGGTTTCAATTATTGGGACTTACAGTTGCCCTGCTATATACTGAAAGTCTTGCGGGGGGTGGAGAGCAACCCGAGTGTTCTCCAAACACTCAGTTTCTTTGTAACTATGGGATATGTGCGACGGCGAAGGCCAGGAAGGATTTTTGATATAATAGAGCCCAGAATCTGTTGCATTGCTGTCTCCGACAATATCGACATATTTGAATGAGTTTGAGTTCCCAGTATCGTTATTGTGTATATTATGTATTTAGTAATATAAATTTTATTATATTTTTTTCGAGATTATCGTATTGGTTTAGTAATGTAAGAATAATGTATGTATTTCTGTAAATGAATAAATTTGACAGAATGTATTTTAGGATATCGCAATAAAATAAAAATTCCTCTTAATATAAGCGCAGATAAATGATTCATTGAATATTATTTGATAAATTTGTCGCATTCTGTGAATCACGCGACGTTCAGTGACAATTGACGCAAATTGATATAAGATAACGCTACAGTGATTTGATAACAGCTATGCGGCATTTTTATCTTTTATAATTGTGTCAGATATGTTACTAGGCTAATTGATTGTTGATATTGTCTTAAGTATAGATTATAATTTAGTTATTGATTAAATATAGTTTTGTAATATTTTCCAAGATACCTCTATATTACGGTTTAGTATGTTAAATTAATTCAATGCAAGACTTGGTGTTTACTCGTATGTTTACTTTAAATCAATCTTTCATTAAATAGGTTTTTCTTGGAAACGTGTAAAAAAAAATATATGTGTTGAGTAAATTAGCTCGCTATTAGGCGAGACGATTCGCCTATGAAAATAGTAATATATATAATAGGAATTTTCTTAACAAAATATATGTATAAAATGTGTCCCGCACCACAAGAGCGCCGAGGGAATATTAAGAAATTTATAATAAAAAAAATGTTTTCTTAATATAATATAGGCATAACGGTTATATACCTTTAAGTCGTTACTCTGCAGCAGTACGCCATCAGCGGGTAGAAGGTCTCCATACTTGATCTGGCAGATGTCCCCCACCACTATTTCACTTATCGGTACCTGATTTACTTCGCTGCTTCGTATCACCGCGAACTTGTGCTCACCTTCTATCCGAGACTGGAGACCTCTGGAGTGTGGATTACGTAGATTAGACACGAATAATAATATAATAGATGGTCATTTAAGTATTCACACAATCCTTTCATTATCCTTCATTGCTATTATTAAAAAATCATTAATTTAACAATATTTTTTGTAGAATATTTAAGATACTTGATATGGGAAGAATGGTCAGAATAATGCAAGCAAGAAAGGTATATACTTAAAATTAATATATATATGTAAAATCTTCATAAATAGTATTAAATAACTCACCTAAACTGTCTTTCTTTCGTGTAATCATTAAACGCTGTTACTATGACGACAACTATAACTGATATTAAGATAGCGAGACCCTCGATCCACTGGTAGTGGCCCTCCTCTTCATCAATGTGTCCTGAAAAACATATAAAACTGCAGTAATTTCAATCAACATTTAGAGTATTCGTCATAACCTAATTTGCTTATTGTGATCTAATATATTGTGAGGAGAGTTAATCTTTTTTCCTCTGCGTGAATAGTTGACACATATCCACCTTAATGGCGCAATATGAGCTACACTAATATAAAACACACGTGAACTAGCGTAACAACGCTCATTTGTAAAGTGTACATACAGACATTAAAAAAGAACTTCGATCTATATTCCAAGCTGTGATTTTTAATTTCATATTGTGTAAATAGGCTAAGACAGTGCTTGGTCAAGCATGTCGATAGATAAGATTCAGAGATCTATCAAAATCCGTTCAAATGAGGCGTACGTTTTGAATGTTAAAGGTGTCTTAATAATTTTAAGTTGCAACTTGAAATATAGGTGAAGTGTGAGGCAAAGGTTAGAGCATAAGAAAGTGTTTAGAAGGATTTTACTATACAGTGACCTGAATTTCGCATTATTTAATTTGTCTAGTTTATTGAAAAAGAATGAAAATTAAATATAGGTTTAGGGCAACGTAGCAACATGTACAATATATTTTTAGCGACAAAAATGTCATTTAACTCAATAATTAATTTACATAACTTTTTTATCGCAGGTCACCCATTTCTTGAACCCTTCAATAAAGTAATTATTCGTATAAAAACTATTTTAAATACCCTTGTAATTAATAAGGGTATTTTCCGTTTGCGTGTGTAATGTAATTTATGAGTTGAAATAACACGTTTTAACTTCGGAGTTCGGTGGCAAACAAAAACATAAGAATGAAATATAGCTTGCTTTTGAAAAAAGCTAAATTTGTAGAAATTAATGACTAATTATTTAAGTGTATAATGATGACCATTAGGTTCTTTCATAAGTTATGTTTTAAACGATAGGAATTCGTCTAAGACGGATTATGTAGGCCGTCGGTCGGAACATGCCTTTAAACAATCTAACGTAGCTGTTGTGATCAAGCGTTTCGTTTTTAAACGTCAAGTCTTAAGAATGACTTTTGAAACTGAAAACAGGCCATTTTTACAAGGCTAGTTTGTGTAATGCTTACCATTAACCTCGATTTATTTATATGTATTTCTATTTTGCGGTCAAAATTTAAAACAAAACAATCTCTGAACAACCCCAAAAGGCCATAATTGTGGAAAAAATTGCTCATTTCTGTCGTAACAAACACTTATAAGCATATGTACCAACATATTGTTCCCGGCTTAGGGTGGCATCGTTATAACAGAGCTTTATGCAACCACTTTCACCGGAATTGTGACTCGGATTTCATTACAGGCTACAGTTAAAATTAATTTGTTTAAAAGATACTCCAAGTGTTCCGTTGTGCCACATTTGTGTAGTTTTCTTTATGTGAAAATAAACATGTTCTTCAATTCGCGAAATGAAAATCTAATTATGCAAAGTGAGTTTTATTGTTTTATTATAAAACAGGTTTTCCATGACACAGTAGGTTATTTATTCGACATATATATGTATAAATATCTCTTAAATAAAAACCAATTTACCTACTATATAAACTCTTGGTTTCAATTAATTTAATTATTAGAATAGGGCAATGTCATGAAGGACTAAATATTAATTTTAGTTCGGGGTCATTGCCTTAAGTAATTTGGGACATTTGTTCATATTCTCACGAATTCACGACCCCGTTTATTGATATTACAATAAAGTCACGGCGCTAAGGAAATTTTATAAAGATATATATATATATATATATATATATTACTTTCTTTACACCGCGTTCGGCATATAATGAATTGGTCTAGGTAAGTACCTATAACCAGTACCTCTAGTATACAGTAACGGTAAAAATACATACATACTTATGGATTCACTGAAAGCAACTTACTTGCTTAAAATGCAAAATTTTAAATGAAGCAAACACAGAATTGGGAATGTTATTCATGAATAGGTTTTAATCATTAAAATGAATAATGATAAATTTTTCAAACCATTAAAACTAACCAACAAATTTAAACATTTAACCAAACGCAATATCTCGGATCATTGGTTCTTCGTATGATTACAGTTCAACCACGAGACTGATTTAACATAACCAGTGGCTGAGATATTCCGATACAAAGAATTTGCCTGTAACTACACGTGTATTAGGGTTTACACGGGGAATTAAATATATTTACTTTTTTATGTAAAAGAGTGTTTACTCATCTATAATCTATATACATTCCGCCCCACCTTAAGAACTTTTTAAGATATTATTTATTTTAATATAAAGGAAAACGAGATTTATTTGTAACATCGTTCATCAGTTGAGAACACTTGAAGATCTATAATTTATAAGTTTAAGATCATTGAGTGAGACATTAGAGACTACACTTGATTTTGAAAGTGCGAGTGTACAGTGTATAAAGATGTGGATATTACAGTATAAAGTGTTTTGTAAGTTTTGAATATGTAGATAAAGAATATATTTTGGTTTAAGAAATCTAACAATACTGACATAGTGTGAAGTATTAAATGTTTTGTATTTTATACCCAGGAATATTCCAAGGCACTAAGAAAACTATAAACGTCCTTTAATGCTAAAAATAACCATGTGCTAAAAACAACTACGAGTAGATTCATACATCAAAGGAACAAGCCTGCATCACTTCGAATAGTATCGTTAATATTTAGTACCCTTAGGCAAATCATTCAAAGGCCGAGGAGGTGATACCCGCTTTTATCTTTGATGTATATACTAACTTTCTAATCACAAAACACCTTGTCAGAGCAAGCATTAAAATGGCGTACATTGAACATAAACTAAACTATTTTTAACCGATATTTATAAAAGCTCAATCAGTCCTGTTTTCTGTCCCAATCAAAGTAATATCAGAAAAAGGAACTTTCAAATCAGGTCATGTTACTTGACATATGATATGTCAGTTTATATATTATATATATACATTCATGCTTAACGTACACCAAACTAAAGGACCGGGGGAGTGCAGGACAGCACAAAATTTACACCGATATCTTACCAATACTGTCTAATGATCCAATAGACATATAAAAGAACACATATAACATTATATACTCTTATAAAACATAATTTATATACAGTATGAGTCCATGAAACATAAGAAACAGATTTTACTTGTATCTTACAATATTCTATAACACTCCAATAATTTACTGATAAAACCCTGGCATATGAAAACCGTAGGAGTAATGTAGATAAGATACACCTTACATATTACACCAATTCATAAAACATACATGTTTTTACGATTTGCAATAAAAGGGTCGCATCTCGAAAACGATAAAATTGAACACTATTACAATATAAATTGAAGCAGCAAATCGAGTTGAATCGTTAGAATCGATTCGTGCCTATAAAGTTTGATTAGTTTTGCTGCATTGTGCCAATATTTCATATCCATTAGTATGGGCTAGCGCTAATTTCTATGCGTTGCGTAGATACTATTTGAATGATAGCAATGTGTTCTTTGTTTTAGCTACATTTAAAATGACAACAGAATGTTGCGAAAAGGTTTTAATTATATAACCATTATGCAAACCAAGTAAATAATCTTTAAATTTTATTAAAGTATTACTTAAATATAAAATCGAAAACGCAGTCCTAAAAAGCTTATTCAGCAAATGCCTATCAGTACGATCTTCCTATCGTATTTATAAATTGTAAAAAACAAAAGCACAAAAAGGCATTAAATGTATGTGCTTTTCGAGTATTCGGATATTATTTTACTATTAATTTAACTCGAAATAACAGCTAAATAACTCACCAATATCACTTTCGTCTTCGGACGGTTTGTAGAAACTCAAGCCCAACGAGACCACAGCAGCTACCTCCAGGATAATGAGCGTGACGTCCTGCAAAGCTTCCCACACGAGCGTTAGGAAGGTCTTGGGCGGCTTGGGCGGAATCAAGTTGGAACCGAACACTTCCCGCCTGTGCTGCTGGTCGGCTTTCGACCCGCTAAGACCTGGAACCAAGGTTAAACTTTAGATAAAATCTTTTTGAGGCTGTTGCGTGTATCAGTCTTCATTTTCAAATTAAAGCGTCAATATTAAAGTTCCATTATCTGTCTATACACAATAGATATATTTACTCTATATGCATTAGTAGTTTTAGTAAGAATATAAAATAAATCTTCAATATTAAAAATATTGTGGAAACAAATAAACTTAGCACTAAAAATTCAATAAAGACGTTTTAAATCGCTGCAAAACCAACATTAACAAAATAGAAATAAAATCCATTTTCGATTGTTAACAAATATCATAAAACATCAAAGCTGCATTGGAACCCAACATCAAAGATACCATTGCGTTCGTATAACTACTACAATAAGGGTGAACATTACGTAACCACTAAATTTCTACGTTATCGCTCTTTACTCAAGCCAGGATTATCCGGATCGTTTCTTAGCATCTTGACGTAGGTAATTATTTGATTAAAATTTGTATTCTCTTCGTGCGTGCAATGTTTGAGATCGTATAAAATAAAGTCCGTTGATCAGAGATCGTGTAAAGGATGTAAATCAATAAAGCTTTATCGATAAAAAAATCAATAACTAAATAAAATGTAACATTGAATAAATATTTATTTGATTACTTGATTAGTTAATTGTAAAATGATTTTAAAGAATGATAATGATTTGATTTCTGATAAGAAAACCGTTCCAATTTTTCAGATTTTGATAATTTGCTCGACTGACATACTTGTTAATCGTGATTATAATTCGATCGAAAACAGATAGCCTGAAATAACATTTTCATACATTGAAAAGGTGCCCTTTTTCGTAAATTTCTTTCACATTTCGTAAAGGTCAGACTAATTCTATTAATACGACTGCCGAATTACGCAGTTTTGAATCATAGTTTGTAAAACCATGTTTAAATATGAATTTTTATAAAAAGGCATATGGTTCATTACGAAAGCTTTACAGCCTTTTATAGAATATAATTTAAGTTTAACAACTATTGTAGTTTAATTCCAAAACCACATGCACAAGATACGCGAGTATGTCCCGGCAGTTCGCTCGCTGCCTCGTTACACTCAATGGCATGTTTTACGATTATCGATCTATATTTACACCTTCCGCCTCGTACGCTTCGTTATATAATATTTCGACTACATTCGCTTCTTTGTTTATCATAAAGTAGCTTCTGTAATAAAATTCTAAAGTACGATCGCGTATATCATGAAATACTTATAATCTTTCTTCAACATCTTAACTTCTTTACAATACACCAACACACACTCGTCTAGGAAAACTTTTTACTAAAAATATATTTGAATGGAAAATAAAAAGTGACTCAGTAATCCCTTTAACTCGTAAACTGATCGGGTTAATTATAATCAAATCACCTTTTTAACGATATTTTCGCAAACGTATAAAACGCCAGAGAGCGTTTTATTGGCAGTAAACGCTTAACATGTCCCATATGGACAATGTACGGAAATCTGATCAATTGTACATTGTTTTGGTGAGTTTTAAACTATTGTGACGAATTAATACAATTAAATACTTTCTCTTAAATATGTTAAGTTACCTTCAACTATTCATACATTAGTAATATTAAGTGTTGGAGTTTTTTTATTTAAAACATGGCAGCGATGGATAAGAAAATACCACACATTAGGGACTTGTTCGCACTCCTGAAGAGGAAACAATAAATTTAACGGCACTCTTAACCCGAACTCAAGATCCGACTTGAGATCACATAGATTACGTTTTATAATCCTCGTAAAACAACTCCAAGACTGATAATAATTATTTAAATTGCAGACAACTTTCACTCTTATCGCAAAAGGTTCATAAAAACTACTTTTTTAAAACGGTATTTTTCCATTAGGATGTCTTTTTAGAAATAAAATATCGTGTGAAAATGCATGTTTCTTAGTATATATATAGACATATTACGTAAAAGAATACGTAACGTTGCATAGTTCCCTTAACGTAACACGTATTTTGATAAGGCTGTGCCCCGGAGGACATGTAAACAGATTCCAGTTCTAAACCTGCTGTATATATTTAACTTGTACAACAATAGTTGATGAATGAAAACTTGAATATAATTAAATTATGTAATTGGTTAATATACAAAATGACTTTATTTTATCAAATTGTTATTTTATCGAAATTTTACTTTACGATCCAACAATTCAAATGTTGGTAGTATATATGCAAATTTTAAACCAACATTGGTTACTATTATCAGTTTATATAATTTTCTTATAGATGTTACCAATATATAACGAAACTTAAAATGATGTTTAAAATAAACTGTAGGTCGATGCCCGCGTCCTTTCTTATCAGCTCAGGCCGGAAATTTGGGATTACGTTATATTCTGGCATCCGCGGTTTCTAGGTTTACTAGGGTAAGATTAAACGCGAACAATGACTGGACCGTATGTAAAAATCCAATATGTTTTTGACATGCGCATTATTTAGCTTATTCTCTATCTTACTTCTAGATTTAAAAAGGCTATATTCAACTCCAAGGCTTCTTTTCTTAACACAGGACTTGATATTTTTAAAATCAGTACAATATTACAACTTTAATGAATTTCAGCAGAGACAAACAAATATTTATTACCCTTTTCTTCGCCAGTAAATATTTCCTTTGAAATCGTTATACGTTTTAAAATCAACACGTGGTTATAATTATACAATCTATTTAAATTATTATTCAAAATATTGATTCATTTTTTTTTTTTTTTTTTTTTTTTTTTTTTTTTTTTTGTATCTGCTTCATGCATCTGCTATCCAAATAACACTTGTTTGTTTGATTTTACTCAGTTCATTTATCCTCAAAGCCATCTAATGCCACGACTCTCTTATGTTAAGAGGTAAATCTTTTATATAGGCTCGTACGTCCCTTCTTTTTAGCCGCTTATGCTAAGACCGCCTTCTCCGCTCAGAGTGTGCCAGTTTATTTACATGGGAGGTCAGCTTCTCCTGTATTTCAGGCTGTTTTGAGCTATTTCCTTCGAACTGTTTTTAGGCCGAGGTCGAGGTATATGTACCTATTGCTTATACAATTGGGTGCCAAAATTGTTTCAAGCTTTGGTCTAATTTCAAGATATCTATGTTACTTTGCTGGCCGTTCCCCACAGTTGTATCCCGTAAGTCCAGATTGGTTTTAAGGTGGTTTTATACACTACATCTTGCTGTTGGGATTAAGTTGTGATTTGCGTCCTAGTAACCAGTTCAGTTCCCAGCCTTCCATCAGTTGTTTGCGCTTTGTCCAAATATGTTTTTGCCATGTAAGTTTCCTGTCTAGGTCATGCCCAAGTATTTTGCGTTATTTTCTTGAGGGATAACTTTGCAGTTTAGCGTTACCGGAGGACATGTTTCTCTCCTAAGTAACGTTACATGTACCGATTTGCTCTCGTTGGCTTTAATTCTCCAATGCTTCAGCCACCTCTCAACTTCTATCAGGTGGTTTTGCAACTGTATGAGGCCGTTTCTGGGTTGCTATGAGCCGACAGAACCCTATCATCAGCGTATGTCGCAGTCTGGTGTAGTTAGTTGTTGGGATGTCTGCTGTAAAAATGAGGTATAGTATAGGGCCCAATATACTACCCTGAGGGACACCTGATTTTAATTCGTGTACTTCTAAGATCATCCCGTACTTCACTTGGTACATCTTTTCTCTAAGTAGGATTTCAATATTAGGAATAGACAATGTGGAAGATGCTTCTTTACTGAACAGGAGCCGTCATGCCATACCTTATCAAACGCTTGGCTATATCCAAAAAGACTGCAGAGCAATATAATTTGTGTTCAAGGCACCTGCTAATGGTGTCAACTATACGGTGTACCTGTTCAATTGTCCCGTGTTTTTCCCGGAATCCAAATTGGTGGTTCGGTAATAGTTACTTAGATGTTCTTTCATCCTGTTAAGCAATATCCTCTCAAACAGTTTGCCAATAACTGTAGCAGGCTGATAGGTCTGTTGAAGCAGCTTCGTTGGGGGTTTACCGGGTTTCGGCACCATGACTATATGTGCAATTTTCCATTGCCCAGGGAAATGTTCAAGTCTTAACTAGCATTAAAATGTTAACTAATTTCATGATACCTTTATGAGGCAAGTTTTTAAGTAATGTGGCATCAATCAGGTCATAGCCGGGTGCTTTACCATCCTTGAGGTTCCTAATTTCTTTCACAATTTCTTTTGGGCTGGTACTTTTTAGTGGTAAACACATTTGATTCGCTGACTCAGGTATTCTTTGATTTCCAAAGTATGTTCGGGATTGTTTTCAGGGAGTGGTTGGAAAACTGTTTTCAGATATTCCCCAAAGATTGTTGCCTTTTCTTTATCTGATCTAGCCCATCCTCCTTTTCCATCATTGATAGGTGATATATGGTTTTTCGGGCGCTTTAGATTCTTGGTAGCCTTCCATAGTGAGTAGTTTGTGTCTCTCGTTGGATCTAGATTTGAGAGATAGTGTTGAATATTATCATTTTCTAGGGTGCTGATAAAGCTTTGAGTTCATTTGAGTATCTATTGAATGCAGTTTTATCACTTGGATATCCCGTAGTATGCCAGATTTTTCTCAAACGTCGGCGCTCTTATTTTCTCTTTAATATCTTTTGGATATGAGTTATGTTTCAGAGGTTGTCCATTACCTGTCCTTTTTGGAGTTGCAGAATTGGCAGCAATGTGAATATTCATATTAAGTTGTTCCAGTTGTCTTTCAAGTTCTTCTATTGTATTAATTTTGGTCTTTAGTTCTGTCTCTGTTGTGATTATACTTTTGTAAATTGTCCAGTCTGTAGTGTTCGAGTTGTATATCCTTAGGGGCGGTGCTACCAGATTAACTGTTGTAGTAACATTCAATATAACTGGTGTGTGGTCAGATGTGAGATCTATTCGAGGTTCTATGTTTAAGTAGTTACTATCTATGTTTTTAACAATAAAAAGTCCAATAAGTCTGGGATTCTTTGTCTGTCGGTAGGCCAATAGGTAGGTTCTCTGCCGGAGTGACTTCTAATTTCATCTCTACTGTGGCTTTATAAAGTTGCCTTCCTCTGGTATTATTCAGCCTAGATCCCCAATTTAAATGTTTAGAATTCCAGTCGCCAGCACATATAAATCTGTTACCCAGTGTAGAAAAATATTTCACGAAGTCGTTAGAAGATATAGTATGTTTTGGAGGACAATACACAGCGGAGAATGTAGTTTCTAGTTTTCTGTCTACAAGTTTAATAGATGTAGCTTGTATTTTTTCTGTTCGGTATTCCTCTATTGGGTAGTGTTTAATGTTGTTTTTAATAATTACTGCTGTTCCTCCATGGCTGTTCCCAGATGGATGATTGGTTGTGTATACTGTATAATTATTAAAGTTTATGTGTGTTTTCGGTGTGAATCTTGTTTGTTTGATTTGCAGTCTAGACTTAAAACTTTTTGCTTTAGTCAAAA